TTCCTTAAAATAATAACAATTTTATTTTAACCCATGGTCTTTTGTGCTATTTTATACAGTAAACAGTTTATCAGTCAGGTAATATCCAGCCTCCTTTGAGTAACATTTCAACAGAGACATTTTTCTTCGGTTGGTGATTAATAACTCTGCTTAAGCCATGGTGTAAATTAGTAAATCAGTTTAGAGGACTGGATTTTAAACAGGCGATCTAAAATTTTTATTAAATATATCCATAATCTTCTGGGAAAATATCACAACATATAGGTCTTCTGTCTCCCTTCTGCCTTCTCCTCTCACATCTACAAACCATATATCAATTAGCCCTAGTCTTTTTGTTGCGCGCTCACACTCTTTGAAACTCCTCTATAACTCTTCACTGGTTTCTTTTGTGAACTACCTGATATTTTCCCAGTCCTGTTACCAAGTGGATTCTTGTGTTTCTTGTAAGTTCTGTTGTTTTGCAGAAATTTTCAAGACATTACCTGCTCTGCATTGAGCTCGAGACAAGATGGAGAGAAGGGAGCTAGAACTAAGAAGGATCAAGCTGACTCACCACCACCAGAGCAGAGGAACTCAGCTGCTTAAAGCAGGGAAAAGAAATGATAAAGCTTTAAAGGGAGGAACTTCAAGGTTGTTTCCATATTGAATGCAAATACTTTCATCACTTGTTCCCTTTCAGGAAAATTCGAAGTAAGTTCCACTGCTAAGCTCTCTTCAGCCTTGACTTTACTCTAGGTTATACAAAAACAGATAATGGTCAGGTACTGACAAGGTAAATATTAGTTCCTTAGTAACTACTTAATATTATGCTTGACTCAATGGATTATGTATGTTGGGTGCTGGTGTCTGCGTTTTCCTCTAGGTGGAGCCATTAGGCTGCAGTCTGTTTGGAGGGCAGTTTCTGCACACCTACATGCAATAAGCTTCATCTTCTCCAGTGTAAGAGGAGCGGTCGGCTGGCTCTCCAGCGCCTGAATGTTTATCACTACTGGTTTATGAGAGAAGTTTCCTCCAAGTAACTCACTTCCTGAACCGAACCCAAAACAAAACCTCCACTGAATATACTCCTAAAAGGAAATCTCCCTATCCGGCAAGGTACCGCTTCTCTCTCTCTGCCAACAACCTGGAACGGCCTACCTGCCCTCCAATGACTCGCCCACCACCCACTCGATCACTGAGAAAACCTCCAGCCCCCAACTTCATTCCTACTTATTCAGTAAGCTTCTGCCTAAATCAAGTTCCCAGCCTGAGTCTAAACTTTCCGCTAACCTCTCCCCTTCTCTGACTTCAGTTCAAGAACAATCCAGCTCATGTGGCTCCTCCATAGCAATATTCATTCCTTCTCTGTTTGTTTTTTTTTTTACAATCAGTTTAAAAGGGAAAATAGAACCTTTTGATATGAATTCATCCACCTCCTTGTGTGTTCTATGTATAGGGTCAAACGCCTTGCCACAAACATGACAGCGTAAAATAATAGCTAGCTAATAATTTGGTATTGAGTAAAGTATAGGCTGTAACTTCACAAGCTTAGGGTTTATACAAAACCAACACTGAGAATTTCTACTCTAATTTTGTAGTAATGAGCCAGTAGTCCTCTAATAAGTACTAATTAACTACTCTTTACCCCCGGCTCACACCGACTCCGGTCTTACCGTTGCGGTGCGGTGGGTGCGGCGCCGCAGTGATTCCAAGTCATTAAAAAGACGTAAACCTCTCTCACCGGCTGCTGAGCTGTCCGGCTACGGTTACCGAGACACTCCGGCGCTGCAGAAAATTCAGCAAGAAAGCTATCCTTGCGGCGTGCCGGAGCCCTCCGCAACAAGCTCTCGCAAATATCCTTATTTGGGCGGTGTTATCGCGTGAAGTTACGTGAACTCAAGTGAACTTCTGTTCTCGTGAGTTAAATCTCCGGACCTGTTGCCGGAGCCGCAGAGCCGCACCGGACCGTAGTCAAAAGGGCGGTGTGAGAGGGGGTGTGTGGGAGTTGCGGTCTCCGTCAGCTCGGTAACAGCACCGGAGCCAGTGTGAGCAAGGGGTTAGTCCTTTACAAGTTTCACTTTAGTTTCCTTGGTAACTACTTATTAGCCCTTGATTAGTTACTCTGTATTTTTGAGGTAATCATGCAGTCATCCAAAAACAAAGCTGGGCTGAGTTTTCCCCAGTAAGTATTAGTTACCTACATATCCAGACTGGCCATAGGGAGAACCAGGAGTATTCCAGAAGCATCGCTTTGGCATTGGCCTGCATCTCTTTCTCTCTCTCTCTATTTTTTAATGTCTGCCAGTGCAATGGCTGCGCGCCTAGGCTAGGCCACATAGGCCAGTAGCATGTGAGGATGGAAAGACGATTGGTTTATTTCAATTAACACCCAACCAAATAATCTGTATCATCCACACAGACAGCAGTGTGTGGAGGAAGCGATGTGTTACGTGTGTTGAGTGCCGGCTGCTGTGGTGTGTGTAGCCAGCGAGCGGTTTAAGGATAAGCAGTGGACTCTTTGAATGTGATAAAAGGAAGAGGAAGGGACGGAGATGGAGAAAGACAAAAAAAGAAAGATGCTGAAAGAGGACGGTGCCAAATAGAGAAAAGTAACAGATTTATTGGAACTACAGCGTTATCCTATTAAGGGATTGTGTTGTTGAATTTTTCTGTCTGTTGCTGACTTGCAGTTACGTATCCCAGTTCAAACATAAAAGTTTGTTTATTCCAACCTTGGATTTGCTGTAGGTTGGGGTTCGTTACTATTCCCTGGGATGATGATTTGCCATTGAAGCATATGACATGACATGACAGGGGTTTGCGTTAAGGATTTTTACCACTTGCCCAACATTTCATTTGCCCAGAAACTATTTTTACTTGCCCAGTATAATATTTGATAAATAAAGTTCCTAATATTCATTTTTGTATATATATCAATGAAACATGTTTGTTTTTTAAATGTTTTTTGTAATTCAGTATTTTTTAAGTTTCCAGGTTCCTGGTGTGTATATGCATGCATCAGATAATGAACTCAAGTCTACATTACCGTGTTAACATGCTTTTCAATCCTTCCTGCACATTCTATTCAAACTAAACTTTGCTTTAAACCTTTGTGTGCTTAGAAAATATAAATTGTAATGTTAAAAATCTAAAAAAAACTTGACAAGTTAAAAACTTAAGATAAATCACAAGACAGAAGTCAATGCCACAGATGAGTAACTTTTATTTTAGAGTCACGGTATGTTTATACAAGATGATACTATTAATATATTGTGACTTTTCTAGAGAATCATTATACATAGTTATTTTATTCAGGGTTTACACAGTTTTACATAATTTTAGAATTCCCTGATTTTTAACTGACTCAGGATTAGTTTTCCCTGACAAAATAAATGCATCAACAAGACAATAATAATAACATAACAGGTCACCAATTTAACATGTTTAGCTCTATAACATTTAAATGCACCTCTCCAATGTCTGAGAGAAAAAAATTTAATGAACATTTTTTAATGTATGAACTGCATCACTGTACAGAAGACTGCCATATGATAGCCATATTTAAACTGTGCGCATGGCATACAATTTTGTCAATTTTCCTAATCCCTGACCGATCATTTTTAATCTAGGGTTATCTGGGTGGAGGGTGAAATGGGTGGAGGGTGAAATGGGTGGAGGGTGAAATGGGTGGTGGGTGTGCTATCGACTGCCATCTGGTGGAAAATCTCGCGTTTTTTTCAAATCACGTGAGAATGTGTACAAAACAACAAAAATGGTGCCGGCAACCTTTGTGGGTCCTTTTTTAAGCGAATGTAGTAAACTAATTAAGTCAGTCTAACTAAAAATGTTCTGTATTTTGTTCATGATTCATCAAATTTAAATGTGATTATAGGGGAGTTACTCAGAGCAGCTCCAGTTTTAGAATTACAGGTTTATGATATGATTTTATTTTGTATCTATTTCAATTCCCTACAAACTTCCAGGCACCATATTTACGTTGTGTGCTTTTTTTTTTTTAGATAGAAAGCATACATTTATAAAAATGAAATGCTCAAATCAAAAGATTAAGTAAATTTGTCTTTAAGTTAATGTACGTTCCACTTTTGGACAATCAATACTTTTTACTGAGAGGGATACTCATGGTACGGAAAATTGCCCAAAGGGGAACACAAGTCAAAAAGGGTTGGGAAACACTGATATATAGGACCTACTCTAATTTCTAAGGAAATATATATATGATAATTTTACTGCTGTAATTGCGATAGTGCTAAGATTATAGAGATTTAACGTAATAAGTAGTGCAAAGGTTAGAGCTATACATAGTCATATCATGCAGGGCTCGATGTTAACCGTCACCCGATCGCCAGGAGTAAGTAGCTTTTATCGTCGGGAGAGTACACTGTGATAGCTCAGTGTGAAAAACAACTGATCCCAGGCTGTTCTCTACATCCAGTCTGTTCCTCTGCTTACTTTGGATGTGTGTCACAGCTGAAGGTGAACTCAGACATAAAAGAAAAACTTACTTTTTGGTTGATAAAAGCTTGTTTAATATTTCACTTGGGTCCTCAGAAAGCAAAACAGATCCCAGCCCTATTTAATTTTACTACCTAAGAATCAGTCATGGCAGTCATTCATGTAACCAGGTCACACTGGCCTGATTACATGACTGATTCCTGGCCTGAAAAAATCTCCCTGGTTACTTAGCAGTTAACGCAGTTTTGTGAACCTTATTGTGAAGTGTTACCCAGTGTTGTATGTTTTTATTCTTTAGATTTTCAATAAAACTAATTCATGACATATTGACTACACACATAGTAAAACATATAACATAAGTAGGAACGTAAAAACTCTATAGCTACTAAGTGAATCCATTGTCTTAAAAAAGTTTTAGTCATGCAAATAATTGTGCAATGTCTTTTTTTTTAATTAAAGAACAGAAAATATTTGTGCATGCATTTGGAACAAGGCATCAAAGTATTTCCATTGTATTCAGTTTGTACCAACTAAAGCTCTCTTTCCTCAGATGATTGGGTTGACAATCTTGCCGATAAAAAGAATGTTTTCTGCGTTTCTCTCTGTGATGATCACCATGAAAGGGCGGTTGAACTTCAACTCTAAGATGGGGCTCCTCCTAGCGCAGAAATTAACGCTTATAATACCAGTAACTGCTGCAGCATAGACTCCAGCCTCATTCACGTCCAGCGTGGCTTGGTGCACAACCTTAACGGTGCAATTAAAGCAGAGTGAGTTGATTGTGTTAAGATAACATAAGCAAGGACCTTTCCTTCATATTTTCCCATCTTACCTCCGAAACAGTCAGGTTCTTTTCCTCTGCAAGGCCACTCAGATTCGCCTGACCCACAAACACATCTGTTATTCCCATCCCTTTCAGCACGTCATTTAAGTTGGAGGAGGTTTTGATAGAAAACTTGGGAACAAAGATTTTCCAAAACCTAAAAAAGATAATAACAATAATATAAGAACCTTCCATACTTATCAACCAAGACATAAAAAACCCAACCTGATACTTAATGTAGAATCTGTTCACCTTAATTCCATCGACTTCATCCACTTATTGACATGCGCAGGGCTGATATTGTTCTCCAGCATTGTCATATTGTCAGGTAAGAGCAGCAGCATGGAGTAGGAGTTTTTGAGGGGCAGGTGGAGAACTGATGTGTGGATTTCCTGGTCGATATAAGTACTAACATCTTCTTCCATTGTCATCATCTGGACCCTAACCTGGTTAATGATAGATGAACAGTTATGTAGATGTATAATAAAAACAGGATGACTCAGATCTGCTCAGCATGTTCAGCTGTGTGACTGAACCTTTTTGTTTTCTTCCACATTGAAATCATCTTCTCTGGTAAGGCGACGCCTGAACGGAATTTCCCATTCTCCTGTTTGAGCAGAAAGAGGAGATTTTATGAATTACTAAAAGCATAACTCAATGAAAGCGAGAGGTCAGGGAACTCATAGGTTGAGACCTTTTACCTTTGTAGTCGATGTAGCTGAGAAGGTACATAACTGTGTCTGGATCCAGGTTTTCTACCAGCTTGTTTATCTTTCCGTTAGTCTTATCAGATACATACTGATTGATGGTATTGGCGGCCTCTGTAGAATTGAGGAAGTCAACACTGAAGCCGTCTGCAGAATAGGACTGCTTCAGGACATCCAGAAACTCCGGCTTTGGCTTGAAGAGTTTGTCCACAAACACAGCCGAGCCTTTGGTGAGGTCATTATGAGCTGCTGTGTTTGCAAGGAGCGTACGGAAGGCCTGGTCTACATTCGTCTGAGCAAGCTGGGAGCTGCTGTAGCCCAGAGCACTGAATAGCTGCTGGTGGGTCTCCCCCCGCGCCCCCACAGACAGAGCAGCTAAGGCAGCAGAGATGCTAGCTGGAGAGAAGAAGATGTTTTTGCCTTGAGAGTCAGAATGATCTGATAACTTCTTGTACAGACGGAAGGCAAAGTCCTTGTTTGCTGAGGTCACCAGAGAGAGGTTGTTGTCACTGTCGTCTGCAGCGTTGTCTCGTGCTTCCACACTAGAGACTGCCATTTTTTCGGGGAATTCCACGGGTCACGTGATTCGCATGAGTAACGATCACGTGATTGGGACGGTACAGGATTAAACATTAACGGGAGCAGACGGGAGCGGGAGCAAACCAATAATAACAACAACAACAAAAAAAAAACTAGGATCGATGCCAAAAAATAAAATAAAATAGAAAGAAAAAAAATCCGGCACTGGCGCGCCGCCGCCATTTTGTAGTTTTTTTCCTTGAAGCCTACACTATAATGCGAGTCAAAAAAACTACACGACCCAAAAACCAACAGTGCTTCCGCTCTGAGTTTTTCACCAGCGCTAAAAGAAAAACAAGAATGGGAGTGGAGCAGGAGCGGGACTCATTCTGAATGAGAGCGGGATGAGAGTCGGAGTATATTTATTATTATTATTTAGTAATTGACAAAAGCATGGTGGAATCTATAAACATCTTCATCTGGTTATACAGATGAAGAGGTTAATAGATTTCAGGCTCTAAATTCATTTGTTGTTGTTTTTTTATAGTATTTCATACAGAGAGCTTTCTTCAACAGAGTGATTTTTATTTTATTTTATGACAGATCTCTTTAAATATTAAATAAAATAAACAAAACTTGTAAATTCTGATTCTTTACAGAAAGTATCCTCCGTAATATATTATGAGAGATAAAAATGGAATTAATTAACTCACTTTTTCTTTTTTCATTTTATGAAAAATAAATGTATCTTTAAAAAAAAAAAAACAATAAAACAATCACATTTTAACATATACCTTAATAATCAACACCGTTTTCTGTACATTTTTAACAACTTACTTTTTTTCTGGCTGCAGCTCAGTTTGTCCCAGCTAACACAGGCTGGTTGGAGAAAGAGTCTATTTATATCGTCAATCAGATGAACTTTGATTTGGTTTATTTTCTGTCCAAACTTCATATTTGTTTTACATTTGAGCAGGGGATCAGACGATGACCAAACATGGCATCAAGGTTTGCAGCTGATTCTCAAAAAACTATAAAACAAGTGAACAACTAAATTTAATGTTTATTTGAATCTCCTAATTATCGTTTTAAGGATTGTTCAGTAAATATGAATATTTAAAATATTGAATGCCCGTGTGAATGTGAAGAATATGTGTGTGTTTTAATTTTGAGGAGAGGGGCGTATGTAAAATGGGAGTTATGTGATGTTTGGCAGACAATGAGTTAAAGTGAAGCTAAGATTAGCAGGTTAGTTATAACAGTATTCAGGCAAAGAAGTAATCCTACTGGGTAAGATGGCCGTTCTCTCCATTATACTTTTCATTTAGCTTTTTTCTTGGTGCTAGGTCATGTCTTTTAGTCAGCCTACAGGTGCTGGTCATAAAATTAGAATATCATGAAAAAGTAGATTGATTTCAGTAATTCCATTTAAAAAGTGAAACTTGTATATTATATTCATACATTACATACAAACTCATATATTTCAGATGTTTATTTTGTTTAATTTTGATGATTACAAATGACAACAAATGAAAATCTCAAATTCATCATATCAGAAAATTAGAATATTGTGAAAAGGTTCAAAATTGATGGCCCCTGGTGCCACACTCTAATCAGCTAATTAACTCAAACCACCTGCAAAAGCCTTTAAATGGTCTTTCAGTCTAGTTCTATAGGCTACACAATCATGGGGAAGACTGCTGACTTGACAGTTGTCCAAAAGACAACCATCGACACCTTGCACAAGGAGGGCAAGACACAAAAGGTCATCGCTAAAGAGGCTGGCTGTTCACAGAGCTCAGTGTCCAAGCACATTAATAGAGAGGCGAAGGGAAGGAAAAGATGTGGTCGAAAAAAGTGTACAAGCAAGAGAGATAACCGCACCCTGGAGAGGATTGTGAAACAAAACCCATTCAAAAATGTGGGGGAGATTCACAAAGAGTGGACTGCAGCTGGAGTGAGTGCTTCAAGAACCACCACACACAGACGTATGAAAGACATGGGTTTCTGCTGTCGCATTCCTTGTGTCAAGCCACTCTTGAACCACAGACAGCGTCAGAAGCGTCTTGCCTGGGCTAAAGAGAAACAGGACTGGACTGCTGGTGAGTGGTCCAAAGTCATGTTCTCTGATGAAAGTAAATTTTGCATTTCCTTTGGAAATCAAGGTCCCAGAGTCTGGAGGAAAAGAAGAGAGGCACTTCATCCACGTTGCTTGAAGTCCAGTGTAAAGTTTCCACAGTCAGTGATGGTTTGGGGTGCCATGTCATCTGCTGGTGTTGGTCCATTGTGTTTTCTGAGGTCCAGGGTCAACGCAGCCACATACCAGGAAGTTTTAGAGCACTTCATGCTTCCTGCAGCTGACCAACTTTTTGGAGATGCAGATTTCATTTTCCAACAGGACTTGGCACCTGCACACAGTGCCAAAGCTACCAGTACCTGGTTGAAGGACCATGGTATCCCTGTTCTTAATTGGCCAGCAAACTCTCCTGACCTTAACCCCATAGAAAATCTATGGGGTATTGTGAAGAAGAAGATGCAATACACCAGACCCAACAATTCAGAAGAGCTAAAAGCCACTATTAGAGCAACCTGGGCTATCATAACACCTGAGCAGTGCCACAGACTGATCGACTCCATGCCACGCCGCATTGCTGCAGTAATACAGGCCAAAGGAGGCCCAACTAAATACTGAGTGCTGTACATGCTCATACTTTTCATGTTCATACTTTTCAGTTGGCCAACATTTCTATAAATCCTTTGTTTTTATTGGTCTTCAGTAATATTCTAATTTTCTGATATGATGAATTTGAGATTTTCATTTGTTATCATTTGTAATCATCAAAATTAAACAAAATAAACATCTGAAATATATGAGTTTGTATGTAATGTATGAATATAATATACAAGTTTCACTTTTTAAATGGAATTACTGAAATCAATCTACTTTTTCATGATATTCTAATTTTATGACCAGCACCTGTATCATGTTCTCTGTTTAGATTTCTTCATGAGAAAACAAGAACACCTATTCCAGACTATAGTTGAAAAGAAGAGGATCAGTGATTCACCTCAGGTTGCACTCGTAGCTCTCCTTTTAATTTAATCTACATGTAAAAAAAAAGATAACTCAGATTAGCTCTTAATAACCCAAAGTTAAAAATGAATCCACGTTCTAATAAATACTTAAAAGTAATACATAAAAGTTGCATTGTTTTGTTTCTCAGTTTTTTAGGAAATAGCCCATTAAACTGAAAATACAATATTGGAGTCAAGGAAATAATTGTCATCTTTATTCTGGAGAACATTTATAGTATTTGAATAACCATTACTTATTGGGGAAAAGCCGGCCCATCACTATTATAGGAAAACTGCTTTGTTATCTGTGAAACAGAGAGGAACTAATGTATAGTTTCACTTTAGTTAAGGGAACAGAAAAACATTAGTTAATTGTCAGATAGTGATTAATACTGATTGGTTAGTCTCTACCTATTTGATATAAAGGTTTACTTTACTTTAAGCTAGGGGGACCAAACGTCCGTATTTCCCGGGACATATCCGTATTTCACGTCCTCTCCTGTTTTTTAAAATTACCTTCATTGGATCATTACATTTACAGGCACTAGGGCACTGCACACGGCGCTGCGTGTGACGTAATCCCTGAGTGATTACGTCACACAGTGCGGGCAGCCCTGTTCTTAATCAGAAGATAGAGAGCGTGGCTGTCTGTACGCCAACATGCCAAAACGAAAATGTATATTTACAGACGATTTACAAAAGAGTTTCCCCGCTTTCAGACCGGGTCAAGACAAATGGGAGGCCTTGTGCACAGTGTGCAAAGCAGGAACATATGTCTTGGTGTCCAATGGAGGTGCGAAAAGCCACCAGGACACCGAGAAACACAAAACAGCTGTGCGAGGCGAGAGCAGTGCTAGCTTGATCACACAGTACTTTGTCAAACCAGGGAACGAGGATGCAGTGAATGCAGCGGAGGCTGCATGGTCATTCCACACAGTGAAACATCACAACAGTTATCGCTCTATGGACTGCACGAGTTCATTGTTGAAAAAGACCCTCCCCGATTCAGACACTGCAAAAAAGTTTAGTTGTGCCCGAACAACTGGCACCTCATTCTGTTGAAGTGGTCGCACAAAGCGCTCAAAGACATCCCATTTTGTGGTGTAAGTACTGACGGGAGTAATCACGGTGCGGTAAAAATCTTCCCCATAATTATTCAGTACTTTGATTGGAAGGAGGTTGGTGTGGAGACCAAGTTGATTCAAGTGCAAGATACACAAAATGTGACTGCAACCACCATCGCCAATTACCTAATGGAAACATTGGCAAAAAAACTATTTGGCTTCCAAATGCGTCGCATTTACCGGGGACAATTGCAGCACTAATTTTGGTGGAACCCGGCGTGATGAAGGGGGAAATAATGTATTTGCAAATTTGAAGAAAATGCTACAAAACAAAACATTGATTGGCGTGGGTTGCCCAGCACACATACTTAACAACTGTGTCCATCACGGGGCAGACAGACTTGATGTGGACATTGAGAATATCATTTTTTAAATCTACCAGTACTTCCACATTTACACTGTTCGTGCAGAGTCCCTCAAATAGTACTGTGATTTTGTTGATATTGAATACAAGAGGATGCTGTCACACAGCAAGACAAGGTGGCTCTCTCTGTTCCCAGGCATAGAGAGGATGCTACAAATGTTCCTTGCTTTAAAATCATTCTTTTTGTCTCAGGAATAGCCACCCATGATGATCAAGGCATTTTTTGAAAACCCATTTAGTGAGATATACTTGTGGCACATGCACTCTCTCATGTCCGTCTTCCACAATCACATTCAAGAAAAGGAAAGGGAGAACAACTCCATCATGGAGGTTAAGAAAATATTGAGCAACATCCACAACATTCTTATTGAAAGGAAAAACAACAATTTCATGTCCCTCAAAGTTAAGGGACTGCTTGCCAAAAATCGCAGAGAAGGACTTGAAGAGGGCTATGATAAGTTCATGGCTGATGTGCTCGGCATGTACAGTTCATGTTTGGAGTATCTGGAGAAGTGGAAGACACCTATGGAAGAGTTCTCACCATTCATGTGGATGGACATGAGTGAGCCACCAAAGTGGAATGATGTGGAGGCCTGCATCAAGTACCTTGGAGAGAAGGGGGTGCCAATTGATGATGTTAAATGCTTTGACCAAGTTGCCAATCGGAAGAAATTCATAGAAAGCTGCGGTGATGATGAGTTCATGGGCCTGCAGGTGCACCAGAAGTGGACCAAATACTTTGAGAAGGCCAAATGTATTGCATGCTACTCAGAACTGCTGAAGATTGCTCAGTTTGTCTTTGCACTTCCTCCTCACAATGCAAATGTAGAGTTTTTTCACTAATGCAGAGCCAGTGGACAAAGGAGAGGAACCAGCTCTCAGTTGAGTCATTGAAAGGGATCCTATTTGTGCAATACAATTTCAAAAATATGTCTTGCAAGAACTTTCATACGTATGTGTTGAGCCACAAGAAACTGCTGAGAAAAATCAGCTCTACAGCAAAATATAAATGGGCAAACAAGGACAAAGAAGAAAAACCGGATGAAGAGGGAGACGAGGATTAAGCAGGAAAGTTAAGATAGTCTATTGATATGTTTGTTCGTTTTTGGTACAGTTATTTTTGCTACACAAGAGGTTTTTTTGTTAATTGGCTGATTTGTTAATTTATTTTTTTCAATAGCCTACCGAACAGTTCATTACTGAGGCTGAGTATGATGTGTTATTGGAAGTTGAGAGTTATTGTTAACTTTTATTGTTAAGTGAGTGATGTTTAGATGAGACATTATTTCTTTCATTGTGCTTTTTTTCATTCATTACAGGAATTGTTAACCATTTTTTAATAGATACATTTTGAATAAAATTATCATTTGTTGTTGGAGTTATTGCTGTTGACTTTTACTGAAAAGCATTTTTAATAAACTAACTGTAAATATGTTTTTGTAGGATTACGTAGACCTATGTTAAAGCTGCAGTCTATTACATTGAGAAGAGAGCAGACTTCGACTGAAAATTTGAAGAAAAACAGGTTTCACGCCACTCCCCCACCCTCTCTGCTTCACTCATGCCCCACCTCCAAGCTCCACCCCTCTCACAGCATCTGCGCGGCTACCGCATGCGACCAGTTCAGCGGTGAGAGGGAGGGGGCGGGATTCAGCGTGTGTGAGCTGTGATTGACACTCCATCAGACGCTCCTCTGGCTGTGATTGGTTGTTTTGTCTCGTCCCGAAATATTCTTTCCAGATTGCAATACAGGCAGTAGGTGGGACCAATTGAAGTTTTTTTCACAGGTTACATATCACATGTACTGCTGTCTGGGCATAGGGACAGTTTTAGCCAATATGACAAAAAAGGCAAGGCAAGGCAAGGCAAATTTATTTGTATAGCACAATTCAGTACAAAGACAATGCAAAGTGCTTTACATGATTAAAATACAGGAAGATAAAACAGAATCAAAGCAAGTAGGAAAAAAAATAAATAAATAAAATAAAATAAAAAATGCAGAAACAAAAAAAAGAATATTAAAAACAGTTGGATTAAAGAAAACATGTTTTTGTTGAACTGTTTAACTAATTAGTCTTGATTTAAAGGAACTCAGGCTTTCCGCACTTTTACAGTTTTCTGGAAGTTTGTTCCAGATAAGTGGAGCATAGGAACTAAATGCTGCTTCTCCATGTTTAGTTCTGGTTCTAGGTATGCAGAGCAGGCTGGAGCCAGAAGACCTGAGTGGTCTGGAGGGTTGATACACTGATAGCAAGTCTGTGATGTATTTAGGTGCTAAGCCATTCAGAGATTTATAGACTAACAGAAGCATTTTAAAGTCTATTCTCTGAGATACAGGGAGCCAGTGTAAAGACTTTAGAACTGGGGTGATGTGCTCTACTTTCTTAGTCTTAGTGAGGACATGGGCAGCAGCGTTCTGGATCAGCTGCAGCTGTCTGATCCACTTTTTAGGCAGACCTGTGAAAACACCATTTCAGTAATCAGTTTGACTAAAAATAAACGCATGGATTAGCTTTTCTAGATCATGCTTAAACATTAGTCCTTTAATCCTGGAAATGTTCTTCAGGTGATAGAAAGACGACCTTGTAATTGTCTTTAAATGCTTTTGGAGGTTCAAGTCTGAATCCAGCACTACATCTAGATTTTGGGCCTGATCAGTGGTTACTAGCTGAAGCGACTGAAGCTGTGTGCTAACTTTAGATCTCTCCTCTATTGCTCCAAAGATTATTACTTCAGTCTGGTTTTTATTCAGTTGAAGAAAATGATGGCACATCCAGGCATTGATTTCTTCTAAGCATTTCCTCAGTGCTTGATGATGATGAGGATGTAAAGCTGTGTGTCGTCTGCATAGTTATGGTAGCTGATGTTGTTGTTTTTAAGCAAGATGGGTCATTACACTTTACTTAAAGGCAAACAAAAACACTAATTAATTGTCAAGTAATGATTGTAATGAGGATAGTACCTGGTATGATCCTCGACTTTACTTTAGGATATACAAACAAAGATAATGGTCAGGTACTGATACGACTTAATATTATGCTTGACTCAAAAGATTACGTATTATAATAGCCAGCCAATAATTTGGTATTGAGTAAAGTAGTTTTTCATAGGCTGTGATTTCAATGGCTTAGGGTTTATTCAAAACCAACACTCAGAATTTCTACCCTAATTTTGCAGTAACGAACCAGTAGTCCTCTAATGTGTTTGTATTTGCATTGTAATTTTGTGAAGCACTTTGTGACCTCAAAGTCTGTGAAAAGTGCTATATCAATAACCATTACTTACTTACTAACTATTTGACTATATTTTAGTTTCTTTATTTGTTCCACTTTGGTTTCCTTGGTAACTACCAACTAGTTAATGATTAATTACTCTGTATATCTGTGCTAACTGTGCAGTCATCCCATAATAAGAATGGGCTGAGTTTTCCCCAGTAAGTACTGGTTAACTACCATTAGTTACTTATTAGTTACCTATGCACTCTCTAACAGTTAATGCAATTTTGTGAACCTTATTGTGAAGTGTTACCCAGTGTTGCATGTATGTTTTTATTATATCATCGCCACTGTGAACATTTTAAAGAAAACCAAGCCAGGAAATATTATTGACTACACGTAAAAAAAAATATGAGTAGGAACGTAAAAACTCTATAGCTACTAAGTGAAACCATTGTTTTAAAAAAGTTTTAGTCAAGCAAATCATTGTGCAATCTCTTTTTTTTATTAAAGAACAGAAAATATTTGTTTATGCATTTGGAACAAGGCATCAAACAAAGTATTTCCATTGTATTCAGTTTGTACCAACTAAAGCTCTCTTTTCTCAGATGACTGGGTTGACAATCTTGCCGATAAAAAGAAGGTTTTCTGCGTTTCTCTCTGTGATGATCACCATGAAAGGGCGGTTGAACTTCATCTCTGGGATGGGGGCTTCTCTGGGTATAATTAGAGAGTATCTAATAAGAGTAACTGCTCCAGCATAGACTCCAACCTCATTTACGTCCAGTGTGGCTTGGTGCACAACCTTTACGGTGCAATTAAAGCAGAGTGAGTTGATTGTGTTAAGATAACATAAGCAAGGACCTTTCATTCATATTTTTCCATCTTACCTCCGAAACAGTCAGGTTCTTTTCCTCTGCAAGGCCACTCAGATTTGCCCGAACCCCAAACACATCTGTTATTCCCATCCCTTTCAGCACGTCATTTAACTTGGAGGAGGTTTTGATAGAAAACTTGGGAACAAAGATTTTCCATTCCCTAAAAAGATAATAATAATAATACAGGAACCTTCAATACTATAATATCAATCAAGACATTAAAAAACCCAACCTGATACTTAATGTAGAATCTGTTCACCAATATTTAATCGACTTCATCCACTTATTGACATGCGCAGGGCTGATATTGTTCTCCAGCATTGTCATATTGTCAGGTAAGAGCAGCAGCATGGAGTAGGAGTTACTGAGGTGAAGGTGGAGAACTGATGTGTGGATTTCTTGGTCGACATAAGTACCATAATATGTTCTGTGGCTCATCATCTGGACCCTAACCTGGTTAATGATAGATGAACAGTTATGTAGAGTAAATAAAAAAAAAAATGAAAACCCGATCTGCTCAGATGTTCAGCTGTGTGACTGGGAAACCCTTTTTTTTTTCTTCCACATTAAAAACTCTTCCCCCTGGTATCATAAGGGGTTTAACGGATTTCCCCTTTTTTCCCGTTTGAAACAGAAAAGGAGATTTTTTTTTAAATTTTTAAAAGCATAACTCCCAAAGAAACGAGAGGTCAGGGAACCAAGGCTGAGACCTTTTACCTTTGGAAATAGATGTAGCTGAGAAGGTACATAACTGTGTCTTTAAACCAGGTTTTTTACCCCCTTGTTTATCTTTCCCCTTAGTCTTAAACCGATACAACCGGGGGGTTTATTGGGGAAAAGGGGGGGCCTCTGTAGATTGGGAAAAAGCCCAAACTGAAGCCGTCTTTCAGAATAGGACTGCTTCAGGGCACCAGAAACCCGGCTTTTGGGTTGAAGAGTTTTGGGCCACAAACCAAGCCGGGGGCCTTTGGTTTAGGGCCATTATGAGCGCGTTTTTTGCCAAAGGGCCTTTCGAAAGGCCTGGGCCAAAAATCTGTCTGAGCAAGCTGGGGGCTGCGTAGCCCAAGCACAGAATATTCTGGTGGGTCTCCCCCCCCGCCCCCCCCAGACAGAGCAGCTAAGGGAGCAGAGGGTGGGTACTGGAGAGAAAAATGTTTTTTGCCTTTAGAGTCAAATGATCTGATAACCCTTTTTGGGACAAAACGGAAAACAAAGTCCCCTTTTTTGCTTTAGGCACCAAAAGGGTTTTGTCACTTTTCGGTTTCCCGCGTTTTTTCCCCCGTGTTTCCACAAACCCTGTCCGATTAAATCGCTCCTTTCCTTTCGCAAACCCCTGCAATAAGACCCAGAGAAACCCCCAGTGCACGCATCATGAACTAAAACAAAGGGTCAAAATGGGTTTCCTTTTCTTTGGTTAGACAATAAATTTCTGATTGACAAAAGGCCCCCCAAATTTTTTTTGGTTTTTTAAAATTCCTTAAAATACCTCTTTTCTGGTTTTTTTTTTTTTAACAAAAATGGAAGGTTTTTTTTTTAAAAATTTTCCCCGGCCCTCCTTTTTTAAATTTCATTTGTTTTTTTTTTTTTATAATTAAAAAAATTGAATAAAAAGAAAGGGAAAAATTTCTTTTCAGTAAGAGTTTATTTTTTATTTTTTTTTTATTGAACCTTTTTCCTTTTTTTTTTAAAATTTTTTAAAATTTAAAAAAAAAAAAAAACTTGTAAATTCTGATTCTTTACAGGGCACTCCCCCCCTAATAAATTTTGAAAAAAATGGAATTAATTTAAATCACTTTTTCTTTTTTTATTTTATGAAAAATAAATATATCTTCTAAAAAAACAAAAACAATAAAACAATCACATTTTAATTCAATTTCAATTGAGTTTATTTATATAGCGCCAAATTCACAACACATGTCATCTCAAGGCACTTTACAGTTCAACCAGATCATACAGTCAAATTTTAACATATACCTTGATAATCAACACCGTTTCTGTACATTTTTATCCACTTACCCTTTTTCTGGCTGCAGCTCAGTTTGTCCCAGCTAACACAGGCTGGTTGGAGAAAGAGTCTATTTATATCGTCAGTCAGATGAACTTTGATCTGGTTTATTTTCTGTCCAAACTTCATATTTGTTTTACATCTGAGCAGGGGATCAGACGATGACCAAACATGGCATCAAGGTCTGCAGCTGATTCTCAAAAAACTACAAAACAAGTGAACAACTAAATTTAATGTTTGAATCTTCTAATTATCGTTTTAATCGTATCGTTCAGTAAATATGAATATTTAAAATATTGAATGCCCGTGTGAATGTGAAGAATATGTGTGTGTTTTAATTTTGAGGAGAGGGGCATATGTAAAATGGGAGTTATGTGATGTTTGGCAGACAATGAGTTAAAGTGAAGCTAAGATTAGCAGGTTAGTTATAACAGTATTCAGGCAAAGAAGTAATCCTACTGGGTAAGATGGCCGTTCTCTCCATTATACATTTCATTTAGCTTTTTTCTTGGTGCTAGGTCATGTCTTTTAGTCAGCCTATCATGTTCTCTGTTTAGATTTCTTCATAAGAAAACAAGAACACCCATTCCAGACTACAGTTGAAAAGAAGAGGATCAGTGATTCACCTCAGGTTGCACTCGTAGCTCTACTTTTAATTTAATCTACATGTAAAAAAAAAAAAAACTCAGATTAGCTCTTAATAACCCAAAGTTAAAAATGAATCCACGTTCTAATAAATACTTAAAAGTAATACATAAAAGTTGCATTGTTTTGTTTCTCAGTTTTTTTTTTAAGAAATAGCCCATTAAATTGAAAATACAATATTGGGGTCAAGGAAATAATTGTCATCTTTATTCTGGAGAACATTTAGAGAATTTCAATAACCATTACTTATTGGGGAACAGCCGGCCCATCGCTACTATAGGAAAACTGCTTTGTTATCTGCGAAACAGAGAGGAACTAATGTATAGTTTCACTTTAGTTAAGGGAACAGAAAAACATTAGTTAATTGTCAGATTAAGTAGTGATTGGTTAGTCGCTACCTACTTGATATAATGGTTTACTTTACTTTAGGCTATACAAAAACATTGCTTAATAGTGACGAAAATGGATGATAAAACAGGTCAGGGAGACAAATGGATGGAAACAATTAAAAATAAATAAAACTGTGCATAAATATTTGTGCTGATAAAAACAAAAATTAAAAAAGAAATGGGGCAAAAGGGTCTGCCTGCCTGCGCGGGGGAAAGAAGGAAAAAAGAGGGGAAAGAGGGGGGAAAAGAGAGAAAAGAAAAGGGGAAAAACATGCACTATATCAATTTCTATCTACTTTTTTTACCTTCCCAACATTTCTTACTGTCATTTCTGCACTTATTTCAGGCTTTATCATCACATTAATTTTTATGTTTCTTGCGGGATTTGAACCTGTGCTTGGGCAATACCGCTTGCATCTTAGGGCATTCCAGAAGTAGAGGTACACATGCAGTGTACTCTGGGTTATGTAGTAACTTTAACAAAGGAACTGTTTTGCCCTATAAATCAGCCTAGTAATAACCCTGTGATAAATCACACAAATGCATTCAAAGCAAATTTTCTTGTAAATAAAAATATTATAAATGAGAAGTAATTATGGCTTTAGTTTTAACAATTCAATTCAATAGGTAACCCCCACTGGTATTCAAAAAAGTTAATAAAAACATGAAGGTTGTTCTTAACTCCAAAAAACGTATGAAACTTTATTGTGAGAAACAGAGAAACAGAGGTAACAGAAACTACAAATTCTTCCTCCAGTCTTCCAAGTGCTGTAGAGGATGACACTGATCCCGACCCACTCGTTACAGAGGTCAATAACACTTTCTGTAAAACATTATTCAGAAACACAATATTTAGCTGAACTAAATGTTGCCACATTTTAATAAGATAAAATAACGTAAAATCAGCATTGCTCACATATTGCAAACAAGATTTTACATTTGCTTGTTTTTTCTTCTCACTTCTCAGACCAGCCAACGTGACTCCAGGGGCGTTGTGGGATGGGATGCAGTTGATGCCCTTGCAGCCTACCTAGTTGACTTGAACCGCACCATCACCGCGTTGTCAGCCAAGGAGGAGGCAGACATAGTCCACCTGTACACAGCTCTTAATGCCATGGACAAGGCACCTTCAAGGTACAGAAGAGTAACTACGTTACTCTTAATCATTTACCATGATTAAGTAAACTGCCAATTGTCACTACCACTTCTCCCCCAAACAACATTTTTACAAATGGTTCTAAAAGTGTGTGACAGAGAGAGAGCAATTTTCACGCACCTGTCTGGCTGCAGCAGTCTCTGTCAACATAGATGACCTCAGGTTCAGCTTGGCCTGCATTTTTATACCGGTTGACAATTCCTTGGCACAACTCCTCCAACCCTGCACCTTCACCCGTTGTCAGCACAGAGTTCAACACCTGGCCAAACTCGTTGCCGATGTTTGATGTGTGAGAAACCATACTGGATTGCAAGTCAACCACCTTAACCTCTCAGCCATCACATCTGGAGATGGGCGCCATCACCCCTCACAACCCCACTTGGGATTAAGCATTTCAGAAAATGGATGGATAGATGGATATAAATAGATCTAATTTGAACCCTCCTAACAACAGTTTTTTTGTTTTATTGGTTTTTCTGATTCAGGATGCAGTGAAGTTGTATCAACTCTCAACCAACCTTTAAAACACTCATAATGATGCAACATCAGCTGAAGTCGCTATATGATCAACAAAGTGCTTTAGTTCCCTCCACATATTCCAGTCTCATAAACATACAATGACATGAAAATAAAGACTAAATTAAAGTTTTTCTTTATATTTTGTATCATTATTTTTGTAGCATTAATGGTCAGGGAGTTCAAATGGATGGACTCTAATTTTTTTTATTGAAGATTACATTTTTTCTAAAACAAAGGTTGATCATTTCTTTTTTGTTTTTACTCCTGATATTTCAGCTTTTTTGCAGCATTGTACTGTTGCCATTTTTACAGTGGACTATATTTTTTAACCATTTTGCTTCTGTAAATATAAAAGTCAATGCTTGCTTTAAAATCAACAAGTATTTCCTGTAAATTTTTATTTGAAGAACTAAATAACATGTTGTGAATCCCTGTGACTTTTGTATTCTTTTAGATATTTTTAGTGTTTTTTTCAGGTTAATTGATTAACTGCTATTTAATGTATTTAATAAAGTAAAGGACCAGTTTTGGTTTCACAGTCTTTTACTGTAGCTATTTGACAGTGTTTTACTATATATTCTACTGACTTTATTAACATTTTACTGTTTTGCTGCACAGTATGTGAAACCTTCACATCCTTTCTAAAGGGTTTAAGTTAGTAAGATACAAACTTTGTCTATCCAGAGCAGGGCTGAACATCATGTCATCTTTGTTCTTTTTCTTTCCTAAGAAAAAATGCAGACTGAGTGAAATCCATCGACCTACAGTATGTTACTTGGCTGTGGCTGTTATCTCCATGTAGACTAAGGTTTTGGATGGTCACAGTTGTTTTTAGATGTGTTCTAAACTACCCTTAGAAGCGACTCAGTCTTTTATTGCACACCACCATTTTATCTCAAACAGTTGTACTGATAGATGACCAAGAAATCTGGCAAAGTTAGAAAATGTTGTTTTGTTTTTTAAACCAAAGACATTTACATTTTCTAAATTTTACATGTTAGGCAATGTGGGTTCAATGAGTTAAGGCATAGAACTTAAATAAATATATCATAATTAAGTTTGCTTCCCATATTATTCCTCTGGGCAAAGTAGCCATTTTTGTTGAGCCATAATTTGTGTTGAAATTTGCATCTGTAGTTTTCAATATTACGTTGTTTCAAAGCTGTCAAAATTGTGTATTTAGAAACCCTACCACCAAAGTTTAAAATACTAATTAACTGCTAAACAATTTAGTTTTTCAACCAATTTCTCAAAAAGTACCACGTGAGCAAAAATATATATCTTTTAAAAATTAGGGAAGGAAATATTGGTAACAGCTTAAAATAAGTTTAAAAAATGTTTAACTACCAGAGAGTGCCTAGGGAACTAATCAGGTTCTAATCGGTAGATAACCATTACTTACTGAGGAACAACCAGCCCACTGCTATTATGGAACTACTGCTTATTTAACTGGGAAATACTGAGTAACAAGGCAAATTTATTTGTATAGCACAATTCAGTACAAAGACTATGCAAAGTGCTTTACATGACTAAATATAGGAAAATAAAACAATCAAAGCAAGTAGGAAAAAATAAAAACATTAATAAAATAAAATAAAAAATCCAGAAAAAAAAGAATATTAAAAACTGTTGGACTAAAGAAAAAGTTAAACTAAAGAAAAGTTGAACTAATGATGTTTTAGTTGAACTGTTTTAACTAGAAAAGTCGAAGGCAATCCTAAACAAATGTGTTTTTAGTCTTTATTTAAAGGAACTCAGGCTTTCTGCACTTTTACAGTTTTCTGGAAGTTTGTTCCAGATAAGTGGAGCATAGGAACTAAATGCTGCTTCTCCATGTTTAGTTCTGGTTCTAGGTATGCAGAGCAGGCTGGAGCCAGAAGACCTGAGTGGTCTGGAGGGTTGATACACTGATAGCAAGTCTGTAATGTATTTAGGTGCTAAGCCATTCAGAGATTTATAGACTAACAGAAGTATTTTAAAGTCTATTCTCTGAGATACAGGGAGCCAGTGTAAAGACTTTAGAACTGGGGTGATGTGCTCTACTTTCTTAGTCTTAGTGAGGACACGGGCAGCAGCGTTCTGGATCAGCTGCAGCTGTCTGATCCAATTTTTAGGCAGACCTGTGAAAACACCATTGCAGTAATCAATTCGACTAAAAATAAACTCATGGATTAGTTTTTCTAGATCATGCTGAGACATTAGTCCTTTAATCCTGGAAATGTTGTTCAGGTGATAGAAAGCCAACCTTGTAATTGTCTTTAAATGCTTTTGGAGGTTCAAGTCTGAATCCAGCACTACACCTAGATTTTAGGCCTGATCAGTGGTTACTAGCTGAAGCGACTGAAGCTGTGTGCTAACTTTAGATCTCTCCTCTATTGGTTCAAAGATTATTACTTCAGTTTTGTTTTTATTCAGTTGAAGAAAATTATGGCACATTTAGGAGATTATGGGGGTTACTGGGGGCAGCGGCTTACCGTTTTTTACTTGATAATAATAATAATAATAATAAATCCAATTTGTACCGCACTTTTCATTAAGAAAAATCTCAATGTGCTAATTTGACCGCCCATCCCCCCCATACCCCCCACCCAGTCGTATCGTAAAATGATACTCAAAAACAAAATGATTCTCAAAAACATCAGGAAAAATGTGCTGCTTGAATGGTCTTTTTTATGAGTAATTATTAAAAGAAAAATAGGAAAGTAGTCTTTAAGGTGCAAATGTTTTTTTTTTTTATTTTAATAATTTTTTCCATTTGAAATTCCATTTCAATACATACTAAAAAGGAATCCTGGAAAATTATACCAGGCAGGTTTAACAAACAAGTTACATGGATAGTAAAACCCTCAAGAACAGGGGTCTTCTATGTTTTCCAGACCAAGGACCCCCAAACTGATGGTGAGATGGAGCGAGACCCCCTATTTATATATATTGTATGAAATTGTGTCCTATAGTCACTCTATTACAGATGGAGTAATGTAAAGAAAATAATTTCTCCCTGGGATTATTAAAGTTTTTCTGATTCTGATTCCTGGTTGTTGTGAAGGAAACGGTGTCCAGCTTAAAGAGCTCCTGTGTGTCGCTGAATGTGTGCTATGATGACTGAAAGACATCTTCTGCCTCCATTTATCTGTTTACTACAGTGTGTTGATTTCATGTTAATGAGTATTTAAAGACATTTCAATTAGTGGGGAAAAAAATTGCAGGGGGGGAATATAAAAATATCAACTAACCATGCAGACCCTCATGCAGTACCTCCGTAGACCCCCTAGGGGTCGCGGATCCCCTGTTGAAGACCTCCGCTCAAGAAGATTTTACTAACACAAACTGAGGAACCAGGCTGAGGTAGGAATTTAAGGTTACTGAAGTGCGGATTTTTTTACTGAAAGCCGGCGGGCAAACTTGTTGCCATCATCCTCACCGACCACCTGGTCATAAAACTGTTTTAAGTCGCCTCCATGATGCTGTGGCTTCCACGCTGCATTTTGTTTTGATGACGCACGCGGTTGTAGGCTACGACGCTGGTAGCTGGTGTTGCCAGATTGGGTGTTTTTCCCGCTACATATTAAGGCCTGTTTACGGTGTGATTTAGCCGGGGTTTCGCCTAACCTGACAACAGCCAGATGCATGTCTCGCTCCGCCCAGCTCCACTCACATACATCTGGGAACCCGCTCATTGAAAGTGATTTCCCCAACCGAATTTATGGTCTGGCCAATCAGGACGCAGGGTGGGTGTGTCCTGGAGTGGAGAAGCGACCGTGAGATTCCAACAACAATGGCGGCTCGCATTCAGGAAGCAAGTGTTAGCATTGATGCTGCTATTTCTTCTGTGTTGTCCAATCTATCTGATATTGTTTCATTAAAAGAACATCAGAGAACGGCTTTGAAGGCTTTTGTTGGTGGAAACGATGTTTCCGCGCGTCTCCCGACCGGATTTGGCAAGAGCTTGATCTACCAAATGGCTCCTCCTCTCACAGCGTCACGGGTTAGCTTCGGTGTGAGTGGTTGAAATAGCACGTCAATAAAGATGACAGACAAGTGGCTTATCCAATCATATGCAAGGAGTTTTGATAAGGCCCAGCCTTCAGTAAAGGCAATTCCTATGGCGGGTTCCCAGATGTATGTGAGTGGAGCTGGGCGGAGTGAGACATGCATCTGGCTGTTGTCAGGTTAGGTTTCGCCTGGAGGGCTTTATAGAAATCTGGCAACCTATTGAACGGAGTTGAACTGAGAGAGCGTGCCGTTCACAGACACCAGAATGAACGAGTTCACAATAACGTTCATCAGGCAATAATGCAGTACGTTCAGTTCACGTTCGCCCAAAATATGAACGAGTTCATGAACTTTCGTTCAATGAACGCGTTCAGGCACAACACTGGGTATGGGATACTATAACTCAACCATAAACTCAGAGATCATACACCAAAATGCATTAGATTGTGTTGTGACTTGTTAAATTATATTAATAAAGTTAAAATTTCAACCCTTAGTTTGTTTATCATTCTATATCACTATCAGCATTTGGAAATCATTACATTTTTTTAATTGTCAACATAAATGATTCATTCAAATTCATTTTTAAACCAGACATGTCCAAAAATTCCGTTATAGAGTTATGACCGTTCAAATGTTTTGTCAAGAGATTTTATAATGTACATTTCTTTTAATTTAATCCTGTGGGCTATGAGCAGCCAAAATGTATGTACTGATTGGAGCACCTTGCTTTATTCTGTTCTCCATCAAAATCCGGGAGATGTTCAACGCAACAATGCCTACCCTTTGAACTTGTGGAATGGAGCAAAGCTGGTCCAATCACACAGTATTTACTTGTTTTTAGAGATTATGATTCAAGTGTCGAGATCCCACAGCAAAGGTACAAGAGTCGAGTAAAGCTGAAGGACCTACAGAATGGAGATGTGTCTCTGATCTTGAAGAACCTGAAGGCTGAGGATAGAGGATTATATGAGTGTTATGTTGTTGGAAAACCGAACTGCAAGAAGAGGGACATCCAACCAATTAGCAAGATCTACCTGGATGTTCTTCCTCCTTCTCCAGGTGAGTCTGTTTGGCTCTTAATCTGAACCTCCAGCAGTTTGATAGTTCTTGGTGTCAGAGAGAAATATGTTTGATCAGCTGTTGTTGGATCCTAAAGATGTTGTTTATGATTCTCTGTAGAATAGCTGGTCTAAATTCATCTTCTACCTGAAAGGCCAGACTAAAACCCTGTTCTTTTCTGCAGGGAACAATCATCGAAACAAAGACGATGAAGCGAACACGGATGAAAAGGACACACCTCTAAACAGTCAAAAAGAAATGATGGTTGTTGTGGCTCTTACAGTTGTGTTTGGTATAACTCCGTTCATTCTGTCGCTGATTGTTGGTTTCAGAGCAGTATACTGTTGTTAGCACTGTTCTGAAACCGGTTCTTTATTCCATGAAAGAATTGTCTCAAAGTAATGCAAAAAAGGAAAGGTTCAGAAACACTTTTTTTTTATATTGAGTGAAAGTATTCTACCATCCTGACAGTTTTCAATACCTTATGGATTCAGAAAAATGAGACATCTTAAATTGTATGAAAGAACATTGACATTGTTTTGCATGTTGGAAAAGATCAATACTCTTACAAGGAGTGTGCAGGTCAGCTGGCTGGAGTCCTTACAGACATTTTCAACACCTCACTCGACCGACCCGTAGTGCCAGCATACTTCAAGTGTTCCACCATCGTTCCGGTCCATTAAAAGCCTCAGGTCACCTCATTTAATGACTACCGATCTGTCGCACTGACTCCCATCATGATTAAATGTTTTGAAAGGCTGGTTAAAAAACAAATCGTCTCCAGTATCCTCCCAACTTTGGACCCATTCCAGTTCGCCTACAGACGGAACCGCTCCACTGAGGACGCCATCTCCTCTGATCTTCACCTGAGCCATGTGGATGCTGTTCCTGGACTTCAGATCAGCTTTCAACACCGTCATCCCACAGCATCTGATAGAAAACGAGGACTGTTAGCTAAAACAACTGAAGCACAAAACATAAACATTTTAACAGCCGACTGAACCATTAAAGGTACAATTTTCTGAGCAGGAAGGATTAAATTCTGCAGAGGACATATCTGCATGTTTACCTCAGTTATTGATTTTCTAGGAATACATTTGCATGATAGGAAAACCGGGAGTTTAAAATAAATTATTATCTCCTGTTCTAAGAAAGTACTGATTGTGCAGCCTAATTTGCCCAGGCTGAGCTCATTCTGCTGGCTGTTATCATGGTTTAATTCTATATTTGTTCTACCAGAGGATGTTTCATCCACTTTTTCTCTACTCAACATCTCTTTAATTAATGAAGTAAGCATTCAGCCAGTATATCTATGTGCACTTTGAATGTTTTATGAATCCAACTTCTAAGAAGAGTAACATAGAATAAAAAGATAAGAGCTTGAATCAAGTTACAGATGTGGAGTTTCACCTTTATTAATGTATGAAATTAGTCAAAGATACCAAGAAAACTATAACAAGACAAAATATGAGGTGGATCCTGCAATAAATAAATAATTTATAAGACAACTAAGGTTCTGGAGTTGTTCTCAGAAGCTCTCCTCCTGTTCATCTCCTCAGAGGTTGGTCTGGTTCTAAGTCTTAGTGGAGCAGAGCTGCAGATGATGAACTGGATCCAAACATCTACAGATGTTTCCAGAAGGTCAGCTGGAGCTGAGATGCTCCAGGGTGAAAGATCTGAAGCAGTCAGACATCAGTGAGAACAAAAACAGAATTTTATTTTCAACCACAATCAATAGCTGAAACTATATTTACATCTAATTAGATCTACATCAATAAAAAAGGAATCTGATCTTTAATCTCGATATTCGCTGCATACTAACAACTACACTTTTTGTAGTTTTTTAATTCTTTGACAGTTTTTATGTGACTGGAATTAAAGAAAAGAAAATAGATCTGCATAACTAGAAAGTCTAATTTTCTGACTCTGCAGGAAACCCTTCTAACCCATCTGCTGTAAACATGGAGCGGGTTCTGTCCAGCAGATCAGAGGATTAACAAAGACAAAGAGCTTAAATAGGTTCAGTTATGTTCTGCAGCTTGAAGCATTTATGATGGCTGTACTCAACTCAACTCAACTTTATTGTCAAATGTGCTACATGAAACATACAACACAGATGAAATTTCCATCCCCTCAACCCCACGGTGCATAATAAAATATAAAAAAATATATATATATATATATGTATTAAATGAGCCATAGCACGAAAATAAAAACCTAAGATATAAAATAAATATTAAAATATTAATATGTAAACAGTAGTGTGAATGGTGCAAATAGTGCATAGAGTAGCAGTCCAGGGGAGAGTGGTGGAAAGTAGTGGAGGATGGGGATATTGGGGGGTCAGGGAGGGGCGAAGGGGGGCAGGGCAGGGAGGGAATTGAGCATCCTCACTGCCTGATGGAAGAAGCTGTCTCTTAGCCTACTGGTTCTGGCCCGGAGACTCTGCAGCCTCCTCCCGGACGGCAGCAAGGTGAAGACATTGTGGGCGGGGTGAGTGGGGTCACCTGCGATCCTGGTGGCTCTGCGGGTGAGGCGGGAGTGATAAATGTCCAATAGAGAGGGGAGGGGGACACCGAGGATCTTCCCAGCTGCTTTCACGGTGCGCTGCCCTGTAGTCAGTTAGAAAACATTCACCTTTACCAGTAAAAAAAAAAAACAAAGAGAGTAAAAACCCTCATTCACTTTGAGAGTTTAAATGATACATGTATAATTATCAAAAAATCTGCTTAAAGTGTTCCTTTTTGGCCATTTTATGAATGTAAATGTGCAAAAATCATTTTAAAATCAGATGTAGCCTATTTTATTTTTTTACTCCCGTGATTGCTTTCTGGGCGTCTGCTTCTGCCTAGCTAGCTAACGTAAAGGGTTGACGACCGAGGCAGCTCATGACTGGAAAAAGGAAATAATTTTCTATGAATGAAAAACGTATTCCCCTCGAAGCATAAGATAAGTTGCCGAAAAAAGAGCCAAAGAGATGCTGCGGCGAAGCGTGGCATTCCTCAGGCTACCTTGTGTAGTCTAATAAAGCAACGAGAGACAATCATGAATGCTAACCATGGAGACCGAAAACGGCGGCAGCCGGGCAAAGCACCTGCGGTTGAAGTTGCCCTTGTGAAGTGGATTAATCAGGCCCGTTCTCAGCAGAGCCGACGCACATAATAAGCTACATAGGCCATCGAGTTATGTCCACACACAGCGCAGTACTGTGCTGTGATTAAGCATTTGTTTCAAACTTTATTTTCAGACTTGTTAAAAAAATGCACCAGCAGCAAAGCAGAGCCACCGCACAGCACATAATAAGTTACATAGGCTACCAGAGTTATGTCTGCGCACAGCGCAGTATACTGTAATTACACTTGCATAGTAGCTATCCGTTTCATTTCATTTTTCTCTTTGAAAAACCATGCAAATGGCATTTAGATGATATTCTGCATAAAGAATAAGTGAAATAACGGTAAATCCGCTTTTAGTAATCAACTGCTTATATTGTTTAAATTGGCTCTGACCACTATAAGCAGATTCCACTCTAGTAGTTTTAAGTTAAAGGAGATAACAGAGCTTATAGAGCAGATATAAACACCATAAATTAGTTATAATCATTAGTTATAATCATCTTTAGCTCCATATATATCTTATATGTATAAATCGTCTGTAAAGCCTTAGAGCGGGGGTCACCAACATGGTGCCAGTGGGCATCAATTGACCTTCAAGGAAAACATGGGGGCCCTCAGTGTTTTCTGAAAAAAAGCACAACTCACCAATGGGCTTTTTTTATTTTGTTGCTCTTCTTTTTTAAACAGACTGAACAGACTGGAGATTAGTAGATGTTTTTTGATAAATTACATCACTGTCATAAAGAATGGGGAACTTATGAAATGGTTTTTTTGTTTTTTACTGAGAAAGTGAAACAATAAATTCACTGATTAAGTAGTTTCAAACTATATGTTATTTTATTTGTAACAGAATGAATATGAGAAATAAAAGAAAGTGAAAAGTCAAGCCAAAGACCTAAAATCTTTAAACTGTCAGGGTTTGGTTGTGGTTTAGAGCAGGCATCCCCGCTGTCCTGCAGGTTTTAGAGGTTTCCTTGCTCCAGCACAGCTGTGTTACAGCTGGGGTTGTAAATTTGTATGTAAATGTAAGTGTGCAGGTGCCAGTTGCTGATTGGTTCCAGGAAGATGACGGCATGACATCCCATTGGTGGCTTCCCGGAAGTGACAACTATAAAAAGGCTGCTGATGTGGACTTCCTGGTTCCGTCCTCCACTCTTCCCAACTGGCCACACTGTTAACATCTGAATATTCTGGAGCTTGTAAGAGTGAGCTGCCATTTCTGTTGCTTAAGTTTTCTCCTGTTTTCTTAGTTAGGGAGGTAAGGTGACTGCCATTTGTTTACTTATACTGCAGTAGGTAAGTTGGTTCATTTCTTTGTTTTAGACAGTTGCCTTTTGTTTATTTTTGGCATATAGCTCTCTCTGAAGTCATTTGCTCCATTTATGATGTAACTTTAGAACTATTTTCCTTTTTAAATCACTTTCTAAAGATGTGCAACTTCGTATGTGTGAGCTGCTTGGGATGGGAAGAGGATGGATCCACTCTTTAATATGTTATGGTCTGGCAACCCTAGACGGGTCGTAACAGCTGATTTTAATTTAAAGCTCATTAACAGGCTTCTGCTCTACTGCAATCGTTATTATCAGCTGTGCTAAAGCAGGGAAACCTCTAAAACCTGCAGGACAGTGGGCCTCGAGGACCGAGGTTGGGGATGCCTGGTTTAGAGGACCCAAATGCAGAAGCAGAGAGGCTGAGGTGATTTCTGCAGATGAAAACAGTAACAAAGGCAGGAATCCAAAATCCAACTTAAAATGTAACACTAGTGATGTCATTAGATGAGCCGAGGCTTCGAGGCGTGTGTCGAGTAATGGAGGGGGAGTTTCCCCGAAGCGCGTGTCGAGGCGTGATTCATTTAGAGGAGGGGGCAAAACTGATGACATCCGAGGCCTCGTTACCGTGATACCAGGTGACCGCTTCAGGAAGCGCGAGAGTTGTGACAGGCATTTAAGCAGCCTCAGGATTCAGTCATGATGTGGGAGATTGGAGGAGAGCTGCTGTCAGTTGGATAGAGTTTGGATAGATTCTAAGAATAGATTATCTGGAAAAAAAACAACCAATCTAGTTGCTTAAAACTATTTTGGTGAGAATAAACAATGTAATGATCCAAATCTGAGCGAGCCACCGGACACAGTTAGTGTTAACACATTAGCATTAACCAGTATTTTCTCTATTCTATGGTTGTCCATATTAGTGGCGTCATCTGTAAGACACAGGCTCTCACCCTAGAGGTTGATGGTTTAAAACTTGACTTTGACTTTTGAAATTTAATAATTTTGGCTAATGAGTCTAATTTGCATTGCTTTGCCCTAGTAAAAATATAGATTGGGTAAAAACGCTGCCAAATTAGGTCGGTTTAGCCAAAAGATTGGTTGAACACAACTTCCGACTGAATAAAACCAAACAATGTGGAAAAACTATTATGTTTGAATAAAAATGACTAACACCTTTCATTTCGCTCATCATTACCCAACTTGCACAAACACTTTCACTGTCTGCTTGAGTTTATTTCACTACAATGGTAGAAAAACTGTGCATCTTCAATGATTGTTCTAAGAAATTTTACACTTAAGAAACATTACAATCAGCAACAGCGACGGCAGAATCAGCAACAACAGAGGAACTAAATGTGTCCCTTCTAGTACTAAATATTATAAACAAATAGAAGTATCATCAGCCAATAGGTGAATATTAAAGTCCAGGCAGGTAAGAGGGAATTTATCAATAAAAAAGTAAAACAGAAGAGGTCAAAGTGAGGGACCATGCGGCACATTTCTTTCTTTTATGCAAAATTCAGATGTCAAGTCAGGATTCCATCTTAAAATCTCCTTTTATACCAGCTTCTCTATAAAATATGCCTAAATCCAGAATTTTATAATAGCTTAATGGATATGAAAATTCATCCATCCATTTTCCCTCATGCTTATCCCGCTGGGGTTGACGAGGGGTGCTGGTGCCTATCTCCAGCTGTCTACGGGCGAGAGGCGGGGTCCACCCTGGACAGGTTGCCAGTTCATCGCAGGGCAACACAAAGACAAACAACCATTCACACCTAAGGAGAATTTAGAGAAGCCAATTAACCTAACAGATTTGCTTTTGGATATTGGGAGAAAGCCGGAGTACCCGGGGAGAACCCACGCATGCTCAGGGAGAACATGCAAACTCCATGAATTTGAGAAATAAAAGAAAGTGAAAAGTCAAGCCAAAGAGCTAAAATATTTAAACTGTCAGGGTTTGGTTGTGGTTTAGAGCAGGCATCCCCGCTGTCCTCGCTACCGTGATACCAGGTGACCGCTTCAGGAAGCGCAAGAGTTTTGACAGGCATTACGAAGCCTCAGGATTCAGTAATGATGTGGGAGATTGGAGGAGAGCTGCTGTCAGTATGATAGAGTTTGGATAGATTCTAAGAATAGATTGGTTAGAAAAACAACCAATCTAGTTGCTTAAAACTATTTTGGTGAGAATAAACAATGTAATGATGAAAATCTGAGCGAGCCACCGGACACAGTTAGTGTTAACACATTAGCATTAACCAGTATTTTCTCTATTCTATGGTTGTCCATATTAGTGGCGTCATCTGTAAGACACAGGCTCTCACCCTAGAGGTTGATGGTTTAAAACTTGACTTTGACTTTTGAAATTTAATAATTTTGGCTAATGAATGTAATTTGCATTGCTTTGCCCTAGTAAAAATATAGATTGGGTAAAAACGCTGCCAAATTAGGTCGGTTTAGCCAAAAGATTGGTTGAACACAACTTCCGACTGAATAAAACCAAACAATGTGGAAAAACTATTATGTTTGAATAAAAATGACTAACACCTTTCATTTTGCTCATCATTACCCAACTTGCACAAACACTTTCACTGTCTGCTTGAGTTTATTTCACTACAATGGTAGAAAAACTGTGCATCTTCAATGATTGTTCTAAGAAATTTTACACTTAAGAAACATTACAATCAGCAACAGCGACGGCAGAATCAGCAACAACAGAGGAACTAAATGTGTCCCTTCTAGTACTAAATATTATAAACAAATAGAAGTATCATCAGCCAATAGGTGAATATTACAGTCCAGGCAGGCAAGAGGGAATTTATCAATAAAAAAGTAAAACAGAAGAGGTCAAAGTGAGGGACCATGTGGCACATTTCTTTCTTTTATGCAAAATTCAGATGTCAAGTCAGGATTCCATCTTAAAATCTCCTTTTATACCAGCTTCTCTATAAAATATGCCTAAATCCAGAATTTTATAATAGCTTAATGGATATGAAAATTCATCCATCCATTTTCCCTCACGCTTATCCCGCTGGGGTTGACGAGGGGTGCTGGTGCCTATCTCCAGCTGTCTACGGGCGAGAGGCGGGGTCCACCCTGGACAGGTTGCCAGTTCATCGCAGGGCAACACAAAGACAAACAACCATTCACACCTAAGGAGAATTTAGAGAAGCCAATTAACCTAACAGATTTGCTTTTGGATATTGGGAGAAAGCCGGAGTACCCGGGGAGAACCCACGCATGCTCAGGGAGAACATGCAAACTCCATGCAGAAAGACCCCGGGCTGGGAATTGAACCCGGAACCTTCTTGCTGGAAACCAGCAGTGCTACCTACTGCCCCACTGTGCAGCACTACATACCTTCAGAAAAATAAAACTTAAAATTTACTTAAAATACAATCCCTTCATCCTCTGACGTGGAGCTCGCTTGGAGCTCGTCTGCCTGGCTGTGTTTCCTGGATGGAGAAGCCTTTTACAGTTTCCTTTTGTATCTATGCTCCTTTTTCTATGTCTGCTTCTGTCTCCTTCAACTTGAGTCGGGCTTGGCAGTTGGCCGCTCACACTGAGCCTGGTTCTGCTGGAGGTTTCTTTCTGTTAGAAGTGAGTTTTTCCTCTCCACTGTCACTAGAAGCATGCTTAGTGTGAGGGATTGCTGAGGAGTCAATGATTTAATGGAATCAACTGGTTTTCCGTAGAAAGATAACCTTGAATCATATTGACTGCATGATCTTCTGAACTGCCAAGTGCCCTGAGATGAAGTGCGCTGTGAATTGGCGGTTTATAAATAAGCTGCATTGAAACGTGAAACCGAATAAGATCACTCAACATATATACAAGAAGCAGCAACAACAAAGCTGTAAATACGTAAGTAAGGTCCTTCAAGTGCTGTAAACCAAAGAGAGCAATTCTTCTCATTTTCCTGTACAAATTTGCTTTAGTTGCAACAATTATATTTCTAAATCTTTCTTTCTCCGCAATCAAAAAGTGTCTGATTCTGTTTTTTACTGTGGAGTAGAAATCTGTGATGGTGGTTCTGGTCGTCTCAAACCAAGTTACCATCCTTCTTCTGGTTTGGACTAACAATGAGGACATTTTCCTCCAAGTTGTTCCAAAACTGTTTCCAGCAAATCTAAAAAGCTTCCTCGGCCATTTCAGGATGTGTCCAATAAGTTGGTTTCTCTGAGGTTCTGGTTCTGTTTGCAGCTTTTCTGCGTCATTTTGAGTTGGGACCAGACAAAGAGCGAAACACATGAGAGGAGACAGAGACACTGACTTACCTGCTTCAGGTTTGGCTTCTTCACAACCGTATTCATCTCCTGGTTTAACATTTATATTTCTAACTATCTGAACACCTGTAGGTTCTGTTTGGATCCCAGTTGATCCGTGGTGTTCTCCAGGGAAACTTGTTGCTTCTGCATCGATTCTCTCATTATTCTCACGGGATGTTTCTTGGTAGGTTTTAGCAGAGATAGTAGCTCCGTGCTTCTGTGTCTCTGCATTTGAAGCAATGCTGGTCGTATCTAAAAATGAGCCTGCAGCCGTCTGAGGAGGCTTCATGTCTCTGAGGTTCTTTATAATCATCTCTGGTTTAGCTGCAGGTAAATCCAGCTGGAAAGCTTTAAATTCAGTTTGTGTCAGAGGCGATGTGTTTTCTCCTTCAGGGTTTCTGCCAGGGTTCTGCAGAGACACTTGGTTGTAGATAGAACGGACCGCAGCGCTGGAGGTCACGGTGCTTTGCGTTGAATTATACAAATTAAGCCCCAGAGAAAGACAGCGAAGAAAGGAAACCATGTTGCTTAATCTAAACACAAAAAAATCCTTTTAAAACAGAAAATATTATTGTTGAATTCTCCAATAAAACCAACACTGCAGCCAACCAGCAAACCTTCAAACGGTTTTACCACTGAGCAGGTCTGCCGTTACAGGAATCCACTTCAAAGGACTGCTGACGTCACAGCCTGCCGCGTCATAGCCATGGGCGGACCAGGCAGTGGGCGGTTCCTGTTGCCTAGCAACGTGCTGCACAGCGGGAATTCTGAACGCCAGTCACGTGACATGAGCGCTGCAGCTGTGCCGCGTGTTGTGGAGCTGACCGCAGAGAGCGGACAGGTAATGGGGGCGCGTGAGGACACGCGCAGCCTCCTGCTCCACCTGAGAGCTCAGAGAGACGGATTCTAGGCTGGTTTCCTGTCACAATAAAAGCACTTTGATCTGCGCTGATATTCTCTCTTTTAACACACTGTTGGTAACGAAGAGGCTCTGAACTTCTACTGCAAAGCTAATAATTGATTAATGATTGACATTAATTATGCACTCATTTTTCTCTATTCTAATTTTCAGATTTACTTTCTATAACCAGCTTTTGTTGGGTCTGAAAATAAATAAATAATTGAAATCATTTTCTGTTGGTTTTCATATATTTATAGGTTTGTCTGTTAGTGGCTGTTCATCAGACAGTTTTTTATGATTTCCTATCCTACATATAAGTTTATGTTTCAGAGTTAATATATTGCTTTGCTCTACAAAAAATAAAAGATAAAACGTATTTAAAAAGACCTTTTATACTTCCTTTAACCATTTAGGATAAGGCTATGTGTTACACAAAACACTTTATACTGTTGTTATGCTGATGATACCCAGCTATATCTGTCTATAAATCCAGATGAAGCTAACCCATTACATAGATTACAGGCATGTCTGAAGACATAAAAACCTGGATGACTCTTAACTTTCTCCTTCTGAATGCAGACAAAACAGAAGTTATAGTCTTTGGACCAGAGTCTTTGAAAAAGAAGCTGATTAGTCAGTCACTTCATTTGGATGGGATTAAACTGATTTCAGATAATAAAGTAAAAAATCTTGGTGTTATTTTTGATCAGGACCTGTCATTTAAATCCCATATCAAAGAGATTTCTAGAATTTCCTTCTTTCATCTGAGGAACATTGCAAAAATTAGAAATCTCCTGTCCAGGGGTGATGCTGAGAAACTAGTCCATGCATTTGTTACTTCAAGGCTGGACTATTGTAATTCTTTACTATCAGGAAGTCCACAAACTGTAGTTAAAAGCCTTCAGCTGATCCAAAATGCTGCAGCCAGAGTTCTAATGAAAATGAAAAAGAGAGATCACATCTCGCCTATCCTGGCTTCTCTTCATTGGCTTCCTGTTAAATCCAGAATAGAATTTAAAATCCTCCTTCTCACATATAAAGCCTTAAATGGCCAAGCTCCATCTGATATCAGAGATCTGATTGTTCCTTATGTTCCTAACAGAGCACTTCGCTCTCAATCTGCAGGTTTACTAGTGGTTCCTAGAATTTCTAAAAGTAGAATGGGAGGCAGATCTTTTATTTCTCAGGCTCCTCTCCTGTGGAAAACAAAAAACAGTTTTAGTCCGTGAGGCAGACACCCTGTCTACTTTTAAGGCTAGGCTTAAAAATGATATATTTTTTAAATAAAACTTATAGTTAGAGCGGCTCAGGTTATCCTGAGCTATCTCTATATGCTGCTATAGGCTTAGAATGCTGGAGGACATACAGACTCCCTTTTCATTCACTCTGAAGAATTTGTTATTTCAATCTCTAACGTTCTGCTCTCTCTGCTTTTTCTTATAGTAGCTTCATCTGGTCTGTTCCTGTTTGGCTGTGACTCCATCCTGCAGAGAAATATCAGCTGTGCTGCTGCTATCAACACTACTGATTATAAATGTTGGAGATTGGACTGTTTTTCAGTGTAGTCCTGTTTCTCTGACTGTGACTAACTGGATGTGCTCTCTTCATCCTCTGGCATGGGAGCTGGCTCAGAGCTTGTCTGCCTGGCTGTGTGTTTCCTGGACGGGGCCGCCTGTGGAGGGGGTTTACTGTTGCCTTTTGTAACTTTGCTTCTATTCTATGTCTGCCTTTCTGTCTCCTTGAACCCCAGTCGGCCTCAGCAGATGGCCGCTCTCACTGAGCCTGGTTCTGCTGAAGGTTTCTCCCTGTTAAAAGGGAGTTTTTTCCTGTAAATGATGAGTGTGAATGTTTGACTTCCAGTTCATGAGGTGATGCAATCAACTGGTTTTCTTTTAATAGAAAACTTTGAATCAAGTTGACTGGATGATCTGGTTGAAAGTACCTTGAGATTACATGTGTTGTGTATTGGCGCAATATAGATAAAGTGAATTTAATTAAATTTATACATTTGTTGTTTATTGAACTCTCTAACTAAGTTTATATGTTTTGTCCCACTGCTTATATGTCTGTTAAAATTAAATCATATTTTGAAAAAAATAAAATAGAAGACTTAAAATTAATTAAAGAGACCTTTATTTGATTTATTTACATTTTTGCCTTTTTTTTATTTATTATTTTTATTTTCTCTGAAAATGCATGCTTTAAAGCATTGCCTGATCAGGTTTGAGAGAAATTGTATGTATTTTTTTTTTATCAAAATGCCTTAAAAGCAATCCTTCAATTATATATATTATATTATATATATATAGCAACTGCTAACTAATGTAACACTACCTGATTAGGAGTAGAGAGGAAACAAAGAAAATGACCAATTAAAGCTTCTTTAAAGACAGCTGATGTTGAAACTCCAGAATACTGTAGAACATGGACAAACATCCACCAGGGGGAGACAAACTACTTTACGGAATTAAAAGCAGTCAAGCTTCGAACAAAACAAAATAATCTGTGTTTTTCCCATAGTGGAGAAAATAAGGTGTATTAGCAGGAAGGGAAAGGTTTTCCTAAAATGGGATAGAGGGCCTAAAATATAGACTTGGCCTAAAATATGAACATGAACATTTGTGATGAACTGGACTGACTTCTTATTGTTTGCATTTACAGCAGGTGAATAAGTATTGAACACGCCACCATTTTTCTCAGTGAATATATTTCTAGATGTGCTATTCTCATGACATTTTCACCAGAAGTCAGTAACAATCCATGCAATCTATACATACAAAGAAAAGTAAAGCCTAGATGTCCAGACATGAAGTCATGTGTAATAATGAGGAATGGCACAGGGAAAAAGTATTGTGACATGTAATATAAAATGATGTATATCCATTTTCAGCCATGGTTTGCGATGATATAGCTGAGAAATTGTTATGTTGTAGGAAAAGGATCCTTGCCCCGGAGCCCAAAGTGATTGCGTGATTAATTGCACAGCACAAGCATTTTTTGACCCGCAGTGAGCAATTCCTTCAGCACCACAAGACTATCAATCTGTGACTTTGTTTGGCCAAATATTTCTTTATTTGCCACAGCAATAGATAACTACTTTTAGGCTGAACTGTATGGGTGCTCTACAGTGCCTCCTGGTTAAAAACATACCAGTCAATGAAACTTATAGAAGAAAAAAAAATCTTTACGTATGTTGCTTGTATATCTGGAAACTTAAAATAAATGTCCAACAAGGTATATGCAGAGCTTTATATTGGGGAAAGAATGCAACCTCATTACTAATAGGAAAGCTCAACACAAAACAGAAGCATGGCTCAGCACAGTAAGTGCCAGCTGTTTAGGGCAGGACTCAGCTTAATATACATACATTCTGTGAGAAAACAATGGTTTGAGAGAAGAGTGAAGGAGGCCATTAACACAGGCAGAGCTGCAGCAAGATATGCCAAAAACTCTGATGCTCATATAGGACAATTGACTGAGGAAAGACAGTAAAAGGAAATTTAGGTCAGTGCAAAGCAGCAATAAAGAACATCTCCCCCCACCGCTTCTCCCCCCCAACAGTACGGCGAGCGTTATGGGACAAAATGTCTTCCACGACGTCCGCATCACCTACCTTCTCAAGTGATGAGGTTTGTTTACATAGATAATTTTAATACTGCCATCTATTGTTCAGTACCGTCTCAGTTTATCTCTCTCAACTTGCCGTAGTTACTTTCGAGCGTAATGGGCGATCTCGCAATCGCTAGTTTGTTGGCTCTGCGCTGCCGTAGTGCAAAGATGTCTGCCTCCATGGCTGCGAGACCCGCTCCTATGCATGGGCGTAGGTTTGCATAGGGACCATAGGGACATGTCCCTACCAAAATGTTGAACCGACCTAATTGTCCCTACCAATAATTGGATGTGAGCAACATGTTTATCATTTACAGCAGTAGTTGTTGCAGCAGTGGCTTCTTTTCCTCTCGCAGCTCCTCTGCCTGGTCTCTCCTGTCCCTTTCACGTAGCAGCGCATGGAACTGTGCTGGGCTGTTTAACTCCACTCTCATTGGTTGTTCTGCCTTAAGTCCCGCCTTCTCTCTCCTTGATAGGCTGTTTTCTAGTCCGTCCGTGCTTGGAGCACAAAATTGAAAATGTATTCACACTAGAATGCCGCGGTTACTGCAATTAATATTAGGCTGCAAAACTAGTCCCAAAAAAAATAATATATATATAATGTGAATATCATGTGCACTAAAAAACAAAAATCCTTTTTTTTGTTTTTTAAAACGAAATATTCTGAGTCAGCCAGGTGTTCTGAAGACTGCTGGAAAAATGGGCAAATAAAGGCTGTAAGCCATCAACATTTCTGATTCTTAGCCACAGCCAATTAAGAAAGAAAATGTGAGGGTTTCCTTTTTACCAATATTTAGTTGCTATTACTGTTTTCATTTTTTGATGACTCTTTCAGGTATAATTATTAGCAGGTGTTATTTCTTTTATAGAGTAGCCTACAACAACAAGAAATGGTGGCTAAACATCTGCTGTTTTTCGTTTAAAAAGCATAATTAGGGTTCCACATAATAACAATAATTTAATTGACTATTTATACTTCTAGAAATAGGATAAATACAAGAACAAACAGAGGAAGAATATTAACATTGATTTGATCTTACATAGATTTCCACACAGTATTTAAGTAAATTAGTACAAACATTAATGTCTGGTAAAAATGCTTGAATCTGACTGTTTATTTTGGATATTATTAAATTACAGATAAGATAGTGTTATATTTTCTTTTATAATTGTTAAAAGGGATTTTATAATTCTATAAACTTACGCTCATGCTTAGTGTTGTGTTTGTAGATGATGCCACTAAAAAAGAAAATAGACATAAGGAGCTATTTAAACAGTCAGACAGTAGCAATATAGGACAATGATAAAAGGTTGTGTTACATTTAATCCTTTACTATTAAAAATGCACTTATACATTATATGATTATAGGAAACACAGATATCCAGTAATAATGATGCAGGGCAGCTTGTAGGTGAAGCAGCTGGCCCTTCAGTGCTTCAGGTGATGTCTAAATAAAACAGGTGATACTAAAATATTTCCTCTTGATGAGTTCTGGATGGAGAATATTGACAGACAAAAACATTTTTTTAATCTTATATATTATATATATATATACACTATATTGCCAAAAGTATTTGCTCACCTGCCTTGACTCACATATGAGCTTAAGTGACATCCCGTTCCTAATCCATAGGGTTCAATATGACGTCGGTCCACCCTTTGCAGCTAGAACAGCTTCAACTCTTCTGGGAAGGCTGTCCACAAGGTTTAGGAGTGTGTTTATGGGAATTTTTGACCATTCTTCCAGAAGCGCATTTGTGAGGTCGCACACTGATGTTGGACGAGAAGGCCTGGCTCTCAGTCTCCGCTCTAATTCATCCCAAAGGTGTTCTATCGGGTTGAGGTCAGGACTCTGACCCACACCAGACTCTGTCATCCATGTCTTTATGGACCTTGCTTTGTGCACTGGTGCACAGTCATGTTGGAAGAGGAAGGGGCCAGCTCCAAACTGTTCCCACAAAGTTGGGAGCATGGAATTGTCCAAAATGTCTTGGTATGCTGAAGCATTCAGAGTTCCTTTCACTGGAACTAAGGGGCCAAGCCCAGCTCCTGAAAAACAACCCCACACCATAATCCCCCCTCCACCAAACTTTACACTTGGCACAATGCAGTCAGACAAGTACCGTTCTCCTGGCAACCGCCAAACCCAGACCCGTCCATCAGATTGCCAGATGGAGAAGCGCGATTCGTCACTCCAGAGAACGCGTCTTCACTGCTCTAGAGTCCAGTGGCGGCGTGCTTTACACCACCGCATCCGACGCTTTGCATTGCACTTGGTGATGTATGGCTTGGATGCAGCTGCTCGACCATGGAAACCCATTCCATGAAGCTCTCTGCGCACTGTTCTTGAGCTAATCTGAAGGCCACATGAAGTTTGGAGGTCTGTAGTGATTGACTCTGCAGAAAGTTGGCGACCTCTTCGCACTATGCGCTTCAGCATCCGCTGACCCCGCTCCGTCAGTTTACGTGGCCTACCACTTCGTGGCTGAGTTGCTGTCGTTCCCAAACACTTCCATTTTCTTATAATACAGCTGACAGTTGACTGTGGAATATTTAGGAGCGAGGAAATTTCACGACTGGATTTGTTGCACAGGTGGCATCCTATCACAGTTCCACGCTGGAATTCACTGAGCTCCTGAGAGCGACCCATTCTTTCACAAATGTTTGTAAAAACAGTCTGCATGCCTAGGTGCTTGAATTTATACACCTGTGGCCATGGAAGTGATTGGAACACCTGATTCCAATAATTTGGATGGGTGAGCAAATACTTTTGGCAATATAGTGTATATGTTGTATTTTAAAAATGTTGGTATAATTACTGATCTAAGTGGGTTGCTCTGTCGGAGAAAGGCATATTTTACATTTTTATTATGTTTTAGAGTCTCTATTCTACAGTAAATGATGAATCACTCACTAAATTAGTTGACGATTATTGAAATAAGCAATTAATACGATTCATTTTTTCAGTCCCAGATAAAATACATGAAATGTTCTACACAGAGTAACTACAGCCCAGATGTTCCACTTTTATAGTGAACTTAATATTTTAATGAATGTATTATTTCGCTTGATACAGAGAGAGCATAGTAGGAAAAATATAAGAGTGGGGTTTAACTGTGCACAATTCTATATCTTCAGAAGAAAATACTGTATTTACCTTCTCTCTTAGTCGTTCAAATGAAACCATTTTCAAAGTGGAAAACAGTCCTAATTCCACATTGATCAGAGCCGGTGATACTTCAAACATTCATAAACAGCATCTAATGAGTGTAGTGCTTATACAATTTTTATTAATGTAGCAAAATGCTGCTTTTCTCTTTTAACAATGAATTCCTCTTATCAGTACGGATCCTCACACCGTGCATAAAAAAGGACATGCATATTGCATAGCACCAATGACAACCGACTGATAGTGTCCCTACCAAAGTTCAAATCAAACCTACGCCCTTGAACAATCCTTTGGGTAAAAGGAGAACCCAACCTCCAGTTTGAATCCCCAGCTTAGTTGAGGCTCAGACGATCCTTCCAGGTGGAGAAGGTCCCAAACATCCAGGTCCCAAACATCCAGTATGCTGGATGACTTCCTGCCGAGAGGCAAAGACAAAAACACAAGGTGACAAAAACTCAGTTTGACTCAGCAAAACTGGCAAAAACTCACACTTAGACTTAGACTTAGACAGGACTTTATTGATCCCTTGAGAAGACTCCCTCCCGAAATTAAGGTCGAGGCGTCGAGGTAGTGGCAGTCAGCAGCTTAAGAGCTTAAGAGGCCGAACGAGGACAGGGCACCGCCTGGTGGTGGAAAGAGGAAAACACAAAAAACATCCTACACAAACTGGAATCCTAACAGCAGCATAGTAATGGCTTCCTGATGTTGTTATTAATCAGAAGCGGAGCTTAAGGTTCAAAGTTGGCTTTAGTTGATGTTAGATAAGCTTAGATTAGATTAGATTAGATTGTTTTTTTACATACAGGCTGTTTTGGCTTAGTTTGAAAAGTTATCGTATGTTGTTGGTCAAAATGTATCTGCAGTTTGATACTTTAAGGTACTGGGTTTCTCTTTTTAGCTGGAGAGATTTAGTTTCGTAAAACTGACTTTTAAAACTTTTTAAAATCACAGCAGCTGCTTATTAAATCTGGATTTACACTGAAACACGCCCATTGGGACAAAGGTTGCATCAATAAAATGAGTTAAAAATTAATTTTGTGCTTCAAACTGCTCATATTCCTGTAGTTGAAGTCATACTAATCAATCTTCTTCCTCATATAACACAGTATATGCACTTTGCACTTTGATCAAATAATTTCTATTGCCTGCCCAACCCTTTAGATATCACTGAGCGGAACAATAGGGAACACTTCAGAAGAAAGTTCAAACTACTCACACCTCTGAGATAAAGAAACGTGCACACTCGCTGTTCCTGAGAGGTAAAATGGCTCAGAGAGGAGTTCAGATGGAGAAAATTTCTTGCTCCATCTGTTTGGATCTACTGAAGGATCCAGCAACAATTCCCTGTGGACACAGCTATTGTATGGACTGCATTAAGGACCACTGGGATGTAGAGGGTCGGAGGGGAAACTACAGCTGCCCACAGTGCAGGGAGACATTTAGTGGAAGACCTGTCTTAAAGAAAAACACAATCTTAGCAGACTTAGTTGAGGATCTTAAAAACATTGAACTCCAGGCTGCTGCAGCTGATCACTGCTATGCTGGACCTGAAGACGTAGCCTGTGATGTCTGCACTGGGAGGAAGATGAAAGCTGTTAAGTCCTGTCAGGTCTGTTTGGTTTCCTTCTGTGAGAATCACCAACAAGCTCACTGTAATGTCTTTGGACTGAAGAAGCATGATCTGGTGGACCAGCTCCAGGAGAGACGACAACAAATCCAGCAGAGAATCCAGGACCAGGAGAAAGATGTGAAGATGCTTCAACAGGAGGTGGAGGCCATCAATTTATCTGCTGATAAAGCAGTGAAGGACAGTGAGAAGATCTTCACTGATCTGATCCGTCTCATCCAGAAAAGAAGCTCTGATGTGAAGCAGCAGATCAGATCCCAGCAGGAAACTGATGTGCGTGAAGTCAAAGAGCTTCAGAAGAAGCTGGAGCAGGAGATCACTGAGCTGAAGAGGAAAGAAGCTGAGCTGCACGAGCTCCAAAACACAGAGGATCTCACCCAGTTTCTCCAGAACTACCCCTCACTGCCAGCACTCAGTGAGTCTACACACTCATCCAGCATCAATATTCGTCCTCCAAGATACTTCGAGGATGTGACAGCAGCTGTCTCAGAATTCAGAGACTTACTAGATGATATCCTGAGAGACACAGGGACAAACATCTCACCATCAGCCACTAGAGTGGAGGTTTTAGAGTCAGAACCAAACACCAGAAACGAATTCTTAAAATATTTTCAAGAAATCACTCTAGATCCAAACACAGCAAACAAAAATCTTTTATTATCTAAGGGGAACAGAATGCTTAGATTAACAGACCACCAACAGCCTTATCCTGATCATCCAGACAGATTCACTTTTCTGTTTCAGGTTCTAAGCAGAGAGAGTCTGACTGGACGTAGTTACTGGGAGGTGGAGTGGAGAGGAGAAGGAGTTTGTATAGCAGTTTCTTACAGGAACATTGGCAAAGTAGAAGGATTTGGATTTAATGACAAATCTTGGTCTTTATATTGTGACACAAGCAGTTATACATTTTGTCACAACAGAGTTAAAACTCCAGTACCAGGTCCAGTTTCCTCCAGAATAGGAGTGTATCTGGATCACAGAGCAGGTATTCTGTCTTTCTACAGCGTCTCTGAAACCATGACTCTCCTCCATAGAGTCCAGACCACATTCACTCAGCCTCTATATGCTGGGGTTAGGCTTTATGGCTCTATATACTCCCTTGAATTCATTAACTTGAAATAGTCAGAAGTAATCTAAAGTCCAATTCTTTAATTATTTTGCTTATTTTTGCTTTAGTTTCTAGTATTCACCTTAACTAATTACAATGATATTTATCACTTTGTAAGACCGAATGTTTTTCTTGTTAAAAATCAGTCTACAGAAGAGCTGCTGGGAGCTTTAATCATCCTGATTATCTGTATCAACTCAAAACATCATTATTTTATTGCAAAATGAGCGGATTATGGATCAAACTAATTGTAGAAATCAAATAGAATCAAGTCGAGTCTTTATTAGATTGTATTTTCCCTGTTGTCATAGATGGACTTAAATGATGTCTGTAGCTTTTTTGTAATTTACACAATAAAAACTGAAATTTAATGTTTGTGTGCCCTCATAATTCTAATGTAACAGAACAGAAAATTCAACATTAAAATGGTGGATTTAATGTCTCCCTCCTTGAATCATCTAATGTTGTGGTGGTCTGCTTTCAATGCTTCAATGATCCTTTGTAAACTAAAGAACATATGAGCTATTTGTAATTATACAAACCTTATAAAGTACATTCTATTTGCTGATGATACAGAAGTATCTTCTGTACTGGAGAAAACCTTCAACAACTTTCAGAAGTGGTCAACACAGAAATGGAAAAATTACAGCATTGGCTCAAAAACAATAAATTATCAGTAAATTTAGATAAAACCAAATTCATGATATTCGGAAACAATAAAAAACAGGAAATAAACCAATTAAAATATCAATTGAAAGGGTTGATTTAGAACAAGTACATGAAATAAAATTCTTGGGTGTCATATTAGACGATAAGTTTAGCTGGAAACCTCAGATCAGCCTAGTAAAATCTAAAATAGCCAAAAGTGTTGCTGTTATAAGAAGAATTAGTTTCGTCCTGGATTACAAATCTTTTTTTATTCTGTACAACACACTCATTGTACCACATTTAACATATTGTGTGGAAGTTTAGGGGAATACATACAAAGCAAATTTACAGCCATTATACGTTTTACAAAAGAAATCAATCCGAATACTACATAAAGTGGGATACTGGGAACACACAAACCAGTTATTTATCAAATCACATATACTGAAATTCTGGGACCTGGTGATATTTATAACTTCTCAATTCATGTTTAAGGTTCGAAATCAAAAACTTCCACACAATATCCAGGAAATGTTTGGTGACAGAGAAGCGGGTTATGATCTAAGAGGTGAAGGATACTTTAAAAAACAACACTTTAAAACAACCAGGAAGAGTTTTTGTTTATCTGTGTGTGGAGTAAATGTCTGGAATGGATTGAATGACGACTTTAAAAAAATTCAAAATGCAAACCAATTTAATAAACTGATTAAAACCGAGCTCATTTCAAAATACGCTATATAAGATGACTGTTTAATAGTCTATAATGTAATTGATGACAGAAATAGTACTTAAAATAATTGTACATGGCTAAACATCATGTGGAATGGAAACAAGTGTTTTTTTTGGTTTTTTGATGTTTTGACAGTTAGTTGAGGATAAATTGACAAGTAGGAAAGGGGCGGGACATTATAAGATGTATCTTCTACCTGCTCCTTTTCGAACAGAAAATATAAAATTTACATGTCACATGGGCAAAATAATTTGTTTTATATTTTCATTCTTAAGTTTGTTTCATTCAAATTTTTCTTTCTTTCTTGATTGTTTTTACTGTCTGTTCGAAATAAATAAATACATCTTGGCTATATGGAAATATTAATTCAAGGCGCTAACTCTTAATGGGTCAATTTTTAGAGAAACTGGAGAGAAAAACGTATAAAAAAGCATAATGCGTGTGACGGTAAATGTTTGAATGTACTGTACAACCGTTCTTAAATTTTTTAATAAATGCTTTTTTGAGTAATCCCACTGTCTGTCTTGCCTGAATACTGGGTCCTTCTGTTCTTTGCTGTGACACAATATTGTGGAGAAAAGTCCTTATTTTCAACCATCTTGAAAAGATTGTATTTTTAATGCCCTGGCTGAGGTTGGGAAAGAAATTAAAGATTGCTACAGTAGATACGCTCCAGCACTACAATTCAAGTTTATTTCCATAAACACATACCATGCATGCTTGTGACATCATAGTGTCCTCTATTGCGCATGCAGGAGCAACCCACACCGACTGGATTCACCGAAAGACACCTTTTCCTGGAAACGTGAGTCCTGCTGCCTTTATTCCCTTCTTCAAATCAAAGACACAAATTTCCCACGGAGCCTGAACTAACCGCAAAATCTTCCCCTTCAATTTTCAGTCCCGGTTCGACAGTATTCAGAGCAGCACTGGACTCCTCTTTATCTACTCACAATAAAACCTGTTAAACTTTTCCCTGGTCTCTCTGTGTTTGGTTTTCTGCATGTGGGTCAGATCTTTAGATAAAATCATGACAATAACTATTTCTCCATGTTTACTATTGTGCTGCACATGATTCTCACATAGTTTTTATGGCCATCGGAATCTGTTTGGAGCTGCATAAAGTTTGCACTGCAGTACAACATCTGAAACATTTTTAAAGTAATGGGAATGATTACATAAAAACATCAGAATCCAGAAATAAATGGATTGAAGCATTCAGACATACAGTGGGAAGAAGGACTAAAGACTGCATGCGGCACGCACTGTTCAAATGCTGTTTAAATGCTGGTTCTGTTGGACTGGTTCATCAGTTTGTTGGGACATTTAGTTCAATTCAGTGGAAGATGAATTGTTTCACTTCCATATGATAAAGTAGAAACCAAAAGCGGTTAAACAAACCTTCCAGAGAATCAGTCAGTCTGAAAACATTTCTTGTTCCTGCTACAAATCTTATCTCTACTGCGTTATCTCTACTCTTTCCTGTTTATCCGCATATTTTTGCTCTCTCCCAGTAATCTGGGTATGACAGTTAAAGATTGACTCACATCGCAGGAAGTAAAATATGAGACATTCATGCACAGTTTCTCTTTTTTGGAATTTTGAGGTGATGTGTTAATACAGACAGTTTCCATTACGTTATTTGTTTTTTTTACCGTCATTACATTGTCACAAGTACAGAGCAAGGAAATTAACTCTCTGCATTTAACTGATCCCATTGGGGAACAGTGGGCTGCCTTTGTGCAGCGCCCAGGGAGCCCCCCCAAAGATGGCGCTGATTATCTCTAGGCTCATGCTTGGCTATCTATTGGTTATAGGGGGTTTGTTTTGTTGATTACTAAAAACTTTGTGTGCTCCAAAGGAGCTGTGTTAGAGCTGGATCAGAGGACAACTTATAAGATGTTAACAGTGTTTTCCTCCTCAGCATAATACATGCCCTGATCCCAAGTCCATGTCTTCTCATGGACTTACCTCATTTGTCTGCAATTCCAGCTGATTTCTGCTTCTAAATCCTATAAACCAGCCGACAGCATCAATTGCAGCAGAGTTATAGATGTGAGGCAGTTTAACTCCTCCTCTCTCCTAATGTGGGCCTTTGTGTCGCTGCTGGGATGTTCAAACTGCTGTGAAATCAACAAAAAAAAACTTCCCTGGAAATTGCTGTTTTCTTCAAGCCAAAACTTGCTTGTGAGTTTTATTCAAAACGTAAAATTATTTAACGTCGTAAGGAAGTCGTATCTAAATGTCAAATCATTCTGGCTTAAACATGTATATAAATGTAGTCTTTATCAGACCATATTGTCCCTAAAGTTAGAAAATTTCTGTTTAAAAAAAAAATCCTGTTTTAAAATCTGTGGGGTTTGTTCCGTTATCTTATGCAGGCCAGTTAGTTATACGTCAGCTTGTACACCTAAATTCGGCCAATCATATATCAACGGTCATCTGTCAATCAAATTTTTAGGTCATAGCATCTTGATTCATATGTCGCAGCTTGTATCTGCAACGGTTGAAAAAAGAAATAAGAATCATTTACTTTCCCATTGAGGTACGTCCCAGAATTCACAGGGATGATGGACGCCAGGGCGGCAGAAGCCATGTGTTTTTTATTAATAATCATAATGCATTCCAGTGGGAATTGGCTGCATTGGAAATTTATTTTAACCAGATGTGTCTTTTCTGTTCTTTAGACTATATAATCACTTGTCTAAAAAATTATAATTATCTCACGTTATTTTAAAAATTTGACATTAAAATATTAAAGTCGTACAGAAGTCATATTTAAATGTCAAATCATTCTGGCTTAAACATGTATATAAATACACTCTTTTTCAGACCATATTTTCCCAAAGGTTAAAAAGAAAAATCCTGTCTTAAAATCTGTGTTTTTTTCCCCAGTTATCTTCTGCAGGCCAGTTAGTTATACCTCAGCTTGAACACCTAAAGTCGGCCAATCATATATCAACGGTCAGCTGTCAATCAAATTTTTTCGGTCATAGAATCTTGATACATATGTTGCAGCTATTATACGCAATGGTTGAAATCAGGATCCTTTCCTTTCCCATTGAGTTCCGCCCCAGTGTTCACGGGGATAGACGTCTGTGTCTTCAGCAGGCGTAGAGCTAACAGAACTGGCAGCGTTGCAAGGCAAGGGCTCAAACATGTACGGCTGGAAGCCTTCTACACCAAACCAAGCTTCTACCGCCCTGGCGTCCTCTTCCACAACATCTTCATCCCCTCTTTCCTCTTCTAAATAAAAAATGTATGATGGAGGAGACTCATCCACGACCTCTGACACTAAACTCTCCTCCTCTTGCATGTTTCCGCTGTCCATAGCGTTCCTTGACAGGGTCCTTGCTAAGTCACCAATTTAGTGCCGCTTGGTCCCAATGGAAACCTACTAGCACTAGGTTGCTAACTAATTAGCAACATGCTTCCGAAAAAACTGTCACGACTTGCTTGCGAACTTTCCGACACAACAATCTCGCCCCCTTGATAGGCGACCAATCACATTCACTTTATTCACTCGTGTAAAGTCGGGCACCACTCAGGAGAATTCGGAACTGTAACGGTTGGAACAGCCGCTTCCCTACGACTTTAAATGTAATCATTTGGTGTCCTTTATGAAAATTAAAATAAATTTAAGTGTAATAATAGTCTAGCGAAACCTAAAAAAGGCAAACCGATTGCTGGTTCTTCCTCTGTGTTAGATTTTTATCACCTGAACCTAATGGCGTAACGACACAACAATAAGCAACATTATCTGGGTGGACCCCATATGAAGTACAACACCCCATCCTCTTTTGCTACTGGTGTCGTGTTTAAACGGCTCACCATCATGTTGAAATGGCATGTGTTGCGGTATAAATACAGTCCGGTCAGTCGGCCTAGTTTCAGGTGGGTTTAAGAGGAATTTTTCACACCATTAAATCTGCAAAGAGAATTCCTAGTCCACAATTGCATAGGGGGCCAACCAAGTGTCAATGACAGGGCCTCTAATAGGTCGGGGGCCCCTAAACAACTACTGTCTCTGCTTACCGATATTTACGCCATTGCTTGAACCGTCTTATTTTTGCTTGGTTTGCTTGTGATGTTCTATTCTGCTTTGTAAAACTAAAATTGTCTATGGGGTCTAATGTATTTTTTTGTTTATTCAAAGCTCCTATTTTGGGGCAATTTGTGTGGAAACCTTTGCCTCCCTGTGAACTCTGAGAGAAGAATCAGATTTTTTTTTTTCTTTTTGATTTTTAACAAAACATTTATTTAACAATGATTGAACAATGAACAGTTAAAATAACTCAGGTCATCAGGACACCATTATAAAAGCAGTTTTCTTTATAGGGATTTTTATTAATTTCTCAATATTTATATACAATACATAGTATTTTGTTGATGGTCTTATGTGTAAAGAGAATATAGTAGTCATTCTCTGTACCAAAGTGTCTACTGAGCTGAGTAGCATTTTAAAATTCCTTTTGATTTCCTTTTGAACATATTTAAGGGTAAGCAGTCGGTTTTCAGCTTGATGTATTTCCTTGTTCCTCCTCTGATTAATAAGAATCATGAGCAAAATCGCTGGTATTTCCTGGGAAGAAAAACTAGTTACACCAAAGCTAAACCAGCTCCTATTAAATAGAAGAGAAACTCAGACAGTCATTGTTATTGAGAGCTGAAATGGAGCAGAGAGGAGCTCAACTAAACCAATGTAACATCTCCTGTTCCATCTGTTTGGATCAACTGACGGATCCAGTGACTATTCCCTGTGGACACAGCTACTGTTTGGACTGTATTAAGGTTCACTGGGACGGAGAGGATGAGAGGAGGATCTACAGCTGCCCTCAGTGCAGGAAAGAGTTCATAACGAGGCCTGGACTGGAGAAAAACATCATGTTAGCAGAGTTAGTCGAGGGTCTAAAGAAGATTGGACTCCAAGCAGCTCCAGCTGATCACTGCTATGCTGGACCTGAAGATGTGGCCTGTGATGTCTGCACTGGGAGGAAGAGGAAAGCTGTCAAGTCCTGTCTGGTCTGTTTGGCTTCTTATTGTGAGGATCACCTTCAGCCTCACTATGATGCTGCACCATTTAAAAGGCACAAGCTGGTGGAACCTTCTAAGAATCTCCAGGAGAACATCTGCTCTCGTCATGATGAGGTGAAGAAGATCTTCTGTCGTACTGATCAGCAGTGTATCTGTTATCTCTGCACCATGGATGAACATAAAGGCCATGAAACAGTCCCAGCTGCAGCAGAAAGGACTGAGAAGCAGAAGAAGCTCCAGGAGAGACGACAACAAATCCAGCAGAGAATCCAGGAGCAGGAGAAAGATGTGAAGCTGCTTCAACAGGAGGTGGAGGCCATCAATGGCTCTGCTGATAAAGCAGTGGAGGACAGTGAGAAGATCTTCACTTATTTGATTTGTCTCATCCTGAAAAGAAGCTCTGATGTACAGCAGCAGATCAGATCCCAGCAGGAAACTGAAGTGAGTCGAGTCAAAGAGCTTCGGGAGAAGCTGGAGCAGGAGATCACTGAGCTGAAGAGGAAAGATGCTGAGCTGGAGAAGCTCTCAATCACAGAGGATCACACCCAGTTTCTCCAGAACTACCCCTCACTGTCAGCACTCAGTGAGTCTACACACTCATCCAGCATCAATATTCGTCCTCTGAGAAACTTTGAGGATGTGACAGCAGCTGTGTCAGAGCTCAGAGAGAAACTAAAGAACATCCTGAGAGAAATCCCCTCCCTCCCCCATGGCCTGTACTCTACACCACCGCAGAGTGGGGCAGCTACAACTAGAAAACATATATTAGTTGTCGTGGAGGAAATTGTTGACACAAAGGTGATAAGGCAGACCTAGTTTTGACTTCCCCCCTTCCAGGTGATTTATTCTTCTCATAGGAACATGTTTCACCTGATCCAAAACAAGCAGTTCCCCTTTTAACCAGAGGGTGGCAGCAGCGATACTCTCAGCTAGAAAATCCTAATTTATTTGATTTTTCAGTTTTGTATAATGATATGCACTTTAACTGATTATTCCCTTGGATAAATGTAATTTTCTAAATCTATAAGTTTACCTTAACAATGATTTAAAAATTAAAGTTGAAAACCGATATAGAGATAAGTGAATATATCTTAAATTAAGTGTATTTACCTTTATATTGAATTGGTAAATAACATAGTTTGCCAATCGAATTAGTATTTTTACTCTTAAAATAATATGATTATATAACATGCATTTGAAATATGGAAATGCAGTTGCCTTTTATCGTTATTCATTATTATTAATTTTAAATATATGTTGTCTTGTTTTTTTAGCAGAATTTTTCTTTTGCTTCCTCAATCCGAGAACAAATCCACTTGTTTTAAGAAAAAAGGACGTACGGTATTTAAATTTTGATTCAACAAAAACATGCAAATCAATCTTGATACATGAAATAAAGAACTACTGCCCTGTGTTTTTTTTTTTTAGCTCTATGAAGTCAGTGCTGTGATGGTGCTAACATACACAGCAGTGTCTGTCATGGATCATTTATGGGTGTCTTTGTTAGATGAAGTTTTAATTAAGACCAGACTAATTCACTTCTCCTTTTTTTATATGAATGCTACTTTTTGTGTCCTAAATTGTTTTTTTTTTTACCATGTTTGGTTGAGGTTTATCACAAACCGTAGAGCCATGACATCACTGTGACCTGTGGGTCGGAGGGCCTTCCCTCTTCACGAGGAGCCAGCGTCAAGGCCCTTCTTGGATTACTGCCCTCTTACATCTGGACGTTATTTACACAGGAATGACCTACTAACCCTACAAGAACAGCATCCTGTTCTATCTTCAGGAAACTCCTAAAACCCACCTCATCAAAAAGCATCTCCTATTCTAACTCTCTTTTTGCTGTCCACTCATTCTGATTAGGGATTTTCCTCAATAGAACTTACTGTCATATTGATAATAACTGTAAAATTGTGTATACTGTGAAACTCGCTTTGAATAAAAGCGTCTGCTAAATGCATAAACATGATCAGCTGTTGTTCACTGTTCCTTTTGCACAGAGCAAGTGAAGAAAGCCTTTATCTGCACAGCTTGTGTGGATTTTTCTACAGAGACTGAAATTGAACAAGATGTTTTATGCTTAAATGCAATCAGAGAATTTCAGACAGCTTCTGTTATCTGTAATGTTTTTACTCTATATGCTTTTCTTATGAACCTGTAAATTTAATGTAATCTAAATGTATTTCTGTTCAATGTGTAAATTTGACTCCCCTGAAAAAGAGGATTTTTAATCTTAACCCCTTGAACCCTACGGACCCACCGGCGGGTCCAGCTGCTACATGACCTTGTAGTTTTACCAAACCCCCAGTATTGATGTAAAAAACATATTTGGCACAGTTTGGTGACATTTATGGATAAATGTGCCAAAATGGCCTCTCCGCCTAAGAAATTTCTCACTAATACCGTTCTAAAATAATTATGATTCATCTGATTGAGTCCAAATTTGGTATATTTTTACACAACATTTAGATTTAAAAGTCTGTACTACTTTTTTGTGCTATAAATAATATTTTGGTAGTGTTTTGCAATGTTTATTTCAAAGAAAATTTTGGCGAGGTTCAAAAAATGCAAAATATTTTGTATTTTGTCCCTAATATTTCAGGCAGGGTCAAAGCTACAATGGTGCTGACACCAGAAAACCATTCTATGACATCTTACCTTTACAGACGTACAAAAAGTTTCTTCTTAAATCTAATAGCTTTGAGGCTATAAGTTATTTACTTTTGTGTGTTTTTGTCAGGCAGAAATTTATTTATACCCCCTTAGGGTGTAAGAGGTTAATGGGATTTTGTTTCTGGTTAAATAATTCTGACCATAATACTGTCTCTTAGATGTCATCTTTCTGTGTGCTCCTTTCTATGCACCTCTGGAAGGCTTTTAATGTCCTGCAGCGCTGCACCACTACAGCACTTTTAATTGTATCTGTATGTTTTATATGTGTTATGTATTGTTTTATGGCTTTGTTGTAAAGCACTTTTGGTACCATTTGGCTATTGTAAAGGGCTATACAAATAAATTTGATTTGAAATAAAAAGAAATGCCACCCCAGATCCAGTATCCTCAGACTATGCACTAAGAGCGAAGAAGGAGGCATCAGAGGGCCGGGCTGAAAGACAGCACAGACGCTCTGATCATGGCAGCAGAGGAGCAGCTGTTGGACATCAGAGCAATGCAGGCCCAGATCTATAAAAAACAGGCATGATCCCAGATGCAGGTTATGAAAAGAGGCCCCAGAAAGAATCCAGCATCTCACAGCAGGGTGTAAGATACTGAAAAGGAAAGGAAGAAATAGAACATCATAACCTTGCTGCGCATTTAGCTTCAGTTCAGTTATTTATTGCAGAAACGTTTGTAACTTCAACAGGAAACATAGTTCTCATTCAAACAGAAATACAATCTGCAAACCATCAAACACAGAACAGTTACATGAAAAAATAAACAATCTTTGGACTTAAATACACGTAGAGACAGAGTGTGTGTCTATCCGTAGCTGCCATCTGGAGGTCTGTAGAGTTTGGGGAAGGTGAGGAGCTGGACGCTGCTGAAGGCGTACTTCCTGCTGCCGATGTTCTTCTGGACGTTCTCCGTCCTGCAGCCGTCCCTGGACACGTGCAGGAGAACAGAAACCATCTGATCAGCAATCATGCGACAAATAAACAACAAACCCTGCTCCAGCATGGATGAGACTTTACTTTGAATTAGTCTATGATCCCATGAAGCGACCTGAACTAAGACGGTCTGTAGACTACAGCTAACAGTTTAAGTATTTCACATTTGTGTTTCTTTCCATCAGTTTAATTTAGGATCAACACAAAGAAAAATTAAATATCATAAAGCATGAGCAACATTTCCAACAAAGTTCAAATAAACGGTTTTTATAACACATTTATAATTTATGACTAACGTTCAGTTTTAGCTGGCAGATAGTTTTTTTGTGGGTCAGACAAAGAACTAACAAAAAGTACATTTAGGGCTTTTTTTTATCATTTCAGCAACAAAAACTTGAATTAAAAACCATAAACATTACCATACATATTATATTAAATATCTGTTTTGGCCACTAGGTGGCAGGAGAACTCAAAAAATACACCAAACCTGTTAGAAATGAAACAACTGTGTAGATAAATTAAAGGATAAAATTATTATTTGATGTTTGTAGGAGAAAGCTTTGGCAATTGTTGAAGCCATAAATAATTTAAGGGGTTATAGATTAAAAATAAAATATTAATTTTTGCAAATATTAATCAAACTATGTGAAGTTTCTGAGTAAAAGTCACCAGGGATGGCTTTTAGTTCAGGCACGCTGCACCAACTCCTCTCAACAATAAATAAACTATTTTTGGCTTATTTTTGTGGTCCAGAAGATGCTTTGGACAGACCTGAGAGAACATTTCTAATCTGTGCATTCCAGTGCTCCCAGTCTGAGGTTGATTACTGGTATTTAGCCAGCAGGATCACCAAGCTGAATATGAGCCAGAGCACCAGGAGGTGAGAGGTCACCAGCAGGAAGGCCACCGGGTAGAAATGTCTTCTGGAAGCTAAAAGCAGCTGAAGCCAGGAGCTCTGGAGACCTGAGGGACACTCTGTGGGATCCAACCCAGAGACAGAGAACCCTGAGTGGGCATAACAGCCCAGCATCTGCCCCCAGGACAGACGGGACCTACAGGAGGAGGAGCGTTTGTGTACAGGTGGGAAATAGGAGGGAGAGGAGGAAAAAAAAAAGAACAAAGAAAAAAATCAAAAGATAAAGAAAAAACCAGAAAGATTCAGCTCGATAAAGTTAAAAGGTGCAGAAAAAGAAAAGGTGAGAAGGAGGAGAAGAGGACAGCTGTGGTTAGTAACAGACCTCCTCATGCTGTCCAGAGCAGAGCTGAAATTCTGCTGACTGAGCGCGTGTTGCTCCTTAAGTATCATACACTGCTCCAGCGTCACAGACATCGCCGTTCGATCCTTCGCGCTCTTACAGCTGGTCAGCCGCACGCCGTTCACTTTTCGACACAACTGCACACAAGGAAACACACACAGGTACAGTTTCCTACAAACAACAGCCTATGAATAAAAAAAAGGTATCTGCAGGTAAACCTGCATCAGTTTTTAGGTTTTATGCATCTCCAGCACCGGCATGTTACAAACAGATATTATTTAAAAGTAAATAGTCACATTTTATGCCAAAAACCATTTGATCCTTATTAAAACAGATTAAGTACTTAAAGCATCCGTCCTGATTGTGTTTTTAATGGTCCTTCTTAAAGGAATAGTACACCCAAAACATGATTTGCCTTCATTTTCTACTCACCCCCATGCTGAACAACACTCTGGAGTACTTTTTTGATATCTCAAATGCATCTGGAGATCTGGGAGGCTTCTTGCTGTCTGCTGACAATCAAATAATGGAGGTCTATGGCGCCCGAGGCAGAAAGGTCCATAAAAGTCCACAAAAAACGTGTCAATATTCCTCCATACTGCTCGTCCAATGTATTCCAAGTGTCCTGAGTGGGTAGCATCCGGAATTTACTCGAAACGAAGTAATTTAGAATGTTTTTAGAGCATAAACAGTAGTGTATAGGATTTCCTGAAAGCGCGTTCACGACTCTACGGAAGCCGGCAGACCAAACCAGATGAAAGTGCGCAAAATGGAAACAGGGATACATCATCCAGGAAAGGAATATTTCAATCAAGGATGTAAACAAATATTCAACTTAAATCTATTAGATTCAAATTTACTCCCTCCAATTAATTGATCGTGTTTACTTAAAGCTATAGTGGAGGGTGTTCTATTTCCAGGTGGATCATCTTAATAAGTGGTCCTCCTAATTGTCAGTAATTCTGGTGATATGTGTGCGTCAGGCCGTCCTACGTGCTGATCCCCATTTTTACATACTGGTGGTGACATAGTGAAAAATTGCAAAACTTCTATTGGAAAGTTAGCTCGTATGAGGGATGCAAAACTTTTAAAAAGAGCATGCACAAGCAGAAATGGGCTCCTGCACGCTCTAACACGCATTTAATAGACATTTCCTCTTAGGTTGGGTACAGGGTTGTGCATGTGCATTTTTTTTTTTTAGAAAATCACGAAAATCCTCCACTATACCTTTAGAGGACATTAATTTCAGTGCTGTAATGTTATCACCGTCCACTAGATGGCCTCACTGTCTAATCTTAGGCAGAGTGTCAGAACAGAGGGATGCTAAAGGAGAAACATTAATCATTCCTGTTTTATTTACACTGTTTAATGGTGAAAAGGATGCAGAGGGAACTTGATGTGCTTCTATTTGTAATATAAACACTCGATAAACTTCTTAAGTTATCGCCTATTCGGCTGCCAGAGCAACGCAGTTTTTACTGTGGAGGGAATCATGCAGAACATTTGCAGCATGATAGAAAAGACATGCTAATAATTAATACAGTCGAGGGGGAAGACTGTTGTGATTTAATGCACTTCATTGAGTCGACTGTGAAGATTGAGAGCAAACAGAAATCAGTGCTAACAGCATTAAGCCTCTACCACCAGATGATTGTATTACATATAGAGTTATATCATACTTAGCACTGACTTCAATTAGAAGAATTGGGAAATATTCTGACAGTATGTTGGAGTGACATCTATAACTATCTATTTGAAATAATAAATGCTTCACACACTTTATTCATCTTTTTATTGAGTAATGTAAGTATTTTGCATGTCAGCACATTGCAAAAATATATATTTATCCCTTTTTGTTTTGGAAAGATCCTCTTGATACAAGAGAAAACTGGATTTGAAAGAAATTGACATTTACCAATGAATCAAAGTCCATAAATAACATAACTCTGTTTAGATTAATCTGTTAATCAATAACATGCAGCTCTAAATTCCATTAAACAAAGTAATTGTTAGAAATATCAAACGTATTCACTTAACTGCGTGTTTTATACATATTTTTCATCTATCTTAAGAAAAATGTAAGCATTTTTAGATACTGCCAAGCTTTAATTTTAATTAACAGCCTGTTTTGGTCCTCCAGAGACCTAAATACAAAAAGAAAACTGAAGTTTGTCATTTTGTATTTTTTATGCTATTAAACAGAAAAAAATCTTTCCTTTATAAAAACAAATTTTACAAAAATGGCATTGATTACTTAGCCTCGTGAGACCATCCTGATCTCGCGAGCTTTCAAGGTTTCACTCGCTAATCAGTCTGGAGACTCTCCGTTAAAGAAAATTTGGAGCCGTTCACCAAACGAGCGTCCAATCAGCGTTGGCTTTGAGGCGGGTTGAGGTGTGACGCAACGAGAAGCGCGACAGTTCAGTCTAAAGAACGTGGCAGCTTCAGCCGACGAAACTAGCGTTAGCGGGGCTATCGAGCAAGTTTTATCGGAATTACAGAGTATTTCTTCACTGAAAGAAGAGCAAAACACTGCTCTGGAGGCTTTTCTCAGAGGAAAAGATGTTTTTGCTCTTCTCCCGACTGGTTTCGGCAAGAGTAGCCTGGCTTGTGGTTGTGTTTGTCGTCTGTCTGTTAGTACGTCATATGCTTCGTTGATCTGATTGGTTTATTTGGCCCGTCTATCACCAACATAGGCCAATCAGCTAACCAGTATTTTTGCCCCTTCCCAAAATTACTTCAACGGAAGGTTTCCAGATGGATATGCGGAGCAAATCCATCTGGGGGAGTCAGGTTATTGCTTACTTTTTCTGGCATCAAATTCAAAATTCAAGGGCAACCCTGGTTGTATGATGGATTTTCTCATCTCTTTGTCAATATCCTGGTGAAGATTCTCAGTCATCAGTCAAAAGTATAAAAAAAAAAAAAAAAACAATCCACTGGACTTTGTTTCCAAGTTTGAAGATGTTTCGTTTCCCATCCAGGAAGTTTTTTCAATTCAAAATGTCAGGAATAGTGTTGAGTTCAAGGCTTTATACAGTTTAATCCTGCCTGCTATCTTTGCAGCCCCTATACAGCAGAGCAAACCTCACCTATTCAGCCGGCCCAATAATCCTCTTTAACAACCCCCCCTTTCAGACACTTAGACAGGTACGAGGCATTGCAGGCTAACAGAAGAAGCCAAACGACCCCCATTCCAAACAGGTGGACCCATTCGTCCGTTTCATTTTGCATGTTTTAAAACAAAAACAAGGCTTTGTTGGGCTACTGTATAAAACTTCGAATTCAACGCTTTTCCTGACATTTTGAATTTAAAAAAGCTTCCTGGATGGGAAGCGAAACATCTTCAAACTTGAAAATCCAGTGGATTGTTTTTTTTTTTAACCTTTTATATCAATAATAATATTTCTTTTTTTTAAACAGATAGTGAGTCCAGCTATTTTAATAAATTCAGCTGGAAAAAACCCCAACAAAAAAAGTTTGCTGAGCTGAGTGCATTATTACTAATGGACAGAAGACAATTTCCAGGACAAGAGATTAATTTCCTGATTAAAAATCTTATATATTTTAATCTTGTTTTTAGTCAGTCGAGCCTCAGAGTTAAGCCCAGTTTAATCATCCAGCATTTTCTGCCCTCCTATGGAAACTGAGCCGACACCGTTAGCTGGTATCACGCCTTAAAAAGCAGGAGGACTTACTGAAGCTGTGATCCATAAAACTTCCACGTTTTTCCTCTTCTTTGCCTCCATGCTGCGATCAAGAGACGTCAGCAGGTCTAATAGTGACTGGATACCAGCTGAGGGAGAGAAAAGGCTGCTTTAGTTCAGCTAGTTACTGATTTACCGCAAAAAGTAACATCATCATATCAAACTGATCATTAAAGGGAATATTCATTTATTTTGAACTGTACTGAAAACTTCTGTTTCATTTCAGAGTTTGTCAGAAACATCCGTCTCACCCATATGAGGAAGTTTTTCTCTCAGCCTGTTACAATAAGCTTTGAGACGTTCACAGCTCTGCTGATTCACTCGTTCCTGCAGCGAACTGTCTCCAAACCTGCAACCAACACAAAACTGCTCCTTTAATCTCACTAATATAATAAACTACAGTAGTTAGGGCTAACAAAAACAATGATACACTGAAAAGTATAAAGACTCAAAGACTGTATCTGGATACAGTAATAATGTGTAATGGTATCGACCCTAAAGACAAATGCTGTTTGCATTTTTTTACTATTGTTAATTTTATATTTTTACGTTAATAGAGTAAAACCTCAGACGACCTTAAAATGTGGGCAAAGACTTTTATACTGCTGTTTTTGTGTTATTTATTTTGTATTTATGTTAATGTTATGTTATGATAATGTTAATTAAAATATTGTTCACACCATTAATTGTTTTTCATTTTTTATCTCCATACAGTGGTGTCAAAAGTACACACATTAGTTACTTAAGTAGAAGTATAGATACTGCAGCTTAAAAACACTCTGGTAAAAGTTGAAGTATCAACTTGACCTCTTTACTCAAGTAAAAGTGAAAAAGTATGTGCTCCAGAAACTACTTAAAGTATAAAAGTATAAAGTAACCTTTAAAAAAAAAAAGCTAGATGCCACTATGTGAACTGAAAGCTCAATTTTTCGACTATTTCTAAAAATTCTTTGAGATAGGGCCAAGGATGAGGGAGGTCTTGTTGCTCTCCGTCTCTCGATACGCTCTTGCCTTTATTGAATTTACAATGTGTAAACCTGTAGATCGGCCATCCTTAAATGGGATTATATTAGTTGCTGTAATTTGAGTTTATATGCACAAAATAATGAGCTGAAATATCCATTGGATGTTCAGGCTGAATACATTCTGTTATAGATTAAACATTCGGACTACAGATGATTTAAATGGAATGAATTTAATGATGACTTAAGAGATAATTTAGAGATAATTATCCTAACAGTTACTTAAGTAGAAGTATAGATACTGCAGTTTAAAAACACTCTGGTAAAAGTAGAAGTATCAACTTGACCTCTTTACTCAAGTAAAAGTGAAAAAGTATGTGCTCCAAAAACTACTTAAAGTATAAAAGTATAAAGTAACCTTTAAAAAAAAAACAGCCAGATGCCACTATATGAGTTGAAAGCTAAATTTTTCGACTATTTTGAAAAATTCTTTGAGATAGGGCCAAGGATGAGGGAGGTCTTGTTGGTCTCTGTCTCCATCTCCCGATACGCTCTCGCCTGTGTCCGACCTTTCAGACATTTTAACATATTTTTCTGAATTCTACATTGCAGCATGACATAGACAATTCACGTTAGCAGTTTGAAGAACATCTGCTGGCTTCTGATGATTTCCTTTAGCTAACCAATGAGTGTTTGCATTATATGACTCATCCAATGACACTAGTTTTCACTAGATGTGGATGGAGCCAATGATCTGCATTGGATGGAGCACATGACGGGAAATAAATATTTATAAATATTAAACCGAAGCCAAGAGTAACGTTGATTTAAAAAAAAGTAAGGAATAGAAAGTACAGATACTTCTGTGAAAATGTAATAAGTAGAAGTAGGAAGAAAAATAAGTAATGGAGTAAAGTATAGATACCTAAAAAGTGTACTTAAGTACAGTAACAAAGTATTTGTACTTCGTTACTTGACACCTCTGTCTTCATAGCATCAAAATGGCATCAAGTATTGATGCCATTTTGATTTTTCTGGGCAAGACTGCTCCTCTGGTTTGTGCTTCCAGGAAGTGGGCGGCGGACCTGAGAGTATCACACCTGGAGGGGCCTCCTATAAATTGGACCAGAGCACATGGCTTGCTCTCTCTCTGCGCTCCATGGACTCCTCTGGCCTCCTGCTCCAGTTTTAGTTTAATTTGATCCATGTACACTTTCACACACCTCATGCACCCCAACATTACATACACCACTGACCTACACTAACACGTTTATTTACTTTAATAAATGGTTAAACCTTCTTTTGCGTGGTCTCCCCATCATTGTTCCTACCCCCTGAGCTAGGGTAGGAACAAAACATAGAGCTTGACATTTTAGTATTGTGGTGCCACTAATATTGGTACACATAATACCTGATCCATCATCATCATTCATCCTGGGTATCTTAAATTTATTTACTGAAATATAATGAGTATAAAAATGAAAAAAGGATTTAGGATGAAAGCTTGTTTTCATTTAAAAGGAATACAATTATATTTTACATCTGTTGAGATGTTTGAATTGATTCTTAGAGCTGGATGCCGCTCTCAGCGAGTTTGTACCTTTCAGCCAGACTCTGATGCTGGTTGATCCCGATGTTAAACAGAACCGGCTCCACTCGGATCAAACAACCCGCTTGTAGTTCCTGAGGTAGTGATCTGAAGGTTTCAGAGGGCAGCGGCACTTCTACGACAAAACTGCCCCTGGATGGAGGAAATATGGGAACCAGAGAGGAGATTTAGCTGGAATTCAGTTCTTTATTTTGCTAATAATTAGATGGAGGAATTAGTTTAGATCAAGGTTTGGTGCACTAAGGTTTAGAGTTAGTGGATTAGGACACAGACTGTGTTAAAAAATGACTGAATTTAATGGGATTTGGAAAATGGTCCTCACTAAACATATCAAAACGAGAATGTGTGTGTTATTGAAGGATCTCACCATGATCCACTGAGCGTCGGCAGCAGGTCGTCTATCTGCTCTGATTTGGCCTCAGTGATGGTGAACGCCATGCCGCCGAGGTCAGCCACGCCCACCTCCATGTCCTCCAACATCCCCACCTCCTCGCCTGAAGCAACCACACAGGATGTGAATTATTCACACCAAACAGGAGAGAAGTAACGTCTGAAAGCGTGACCCCCGTCTCCCCCCCACAGCATCCACACCATAGGTGCTCAGCAGGCCTTCAAACTGCACCAGGATTCCCACAGAGTGGAGCTGCTGCAGGAACTCTGGATCCTCCAGACCTCCGAAAAGCTTCAGCATGAAACCACAAACCACCGCTGACAGCTGCATAAAACAGGGAAATAAAGGATTAACATTTATACGCCAACTTTGATTTAGATTTTTATTCTTGCAGGCAAAGACTCTTCAGAGACTGAATGTTTTCAAACAATTTCAAGACATGAAATTATCTTAATTTAGTAAATTAAATACTATATAAATTATCTCTGATGTAGTTATTTTTCTATAAACTTCTGAAGCTATCCTTTATAAATTCAAAATCCTTATTTTCTATAACTTATTTCTTTAGATTAAGTTTTAAAGGGATATTTATGTGCAAATAAGGCAAAGTAAAATCTAACTATGTAAAAAATATAAAAATAAAACCTACAGAATTTATTATATAAAGTAGAAAATAAGTATCAAAGAAAAGCTATTAATCCTATTTGCGAATAAAATAAATTAATATAAAACATAATTTGAAAGAAATAAACAATGACAATTATTTTTCAAGAAAAGTTTTTAACCCCCCCAAAAACGTAGAAATGAATATCCTCACCCCCTGACTGAAGACGGCGTGGCGCCGCTGCACAATTAACGTGGGACCCTGAGCGACAGTCGCAGCCACTGCCCCCTGCAGGACAACAAAGGTCATGGCAGCTCGCGCCTTCGATACTGCCTCCCTTACACAGTCTCTAAGAGTGACCACCAGGGGGAGCAGCTGCTCCTGCCAAGAACCCACAGAGGAGGAGGAGAAGGAGGAAGGAGAGGCTGGAGGGAAAGAAGAGAGAAAAATCCAGGATGTTTATCGGTGAGATTACAGGAAAAAGGGAAACCTGACATCTAATTTGATCTTCATTATGACTCCTCTTATCTATTATGTATCTAATGTTTTCGTTATTTTCTCCTATTGTTAAAAGAATTTTGAAAAGGAGCTAAAAAACAAAATATAACTATAAAAAATAACTGAACAGAGAAACTATGAAAAATGGAAACCAGAACTTAAAGTCGTAGGGAAGCGGTTGTTACAACTGTTGCATTTGCAGATTCTCCCGAGTGGTGTACGACTTTACACGAGTGAATAAAGTGAATGTGATTGGTCGTTTATCAAGAGGGCGGGATTGTTGCATCTTGCAAACCAGTTAGCAACTTAGTGCTAGTAGGTTCCCAATGGGAAATTACATTGGGACCAATTAGTATTTAGCAACGACACTGTCAAGGAACGCTATGGACAGAGGAAACATGTAAGAGGAGGAGAGTTTAGTGTCGGAGGTCGTGGATGAGTCTCCTCCGTCATACATCTTTTATTTAGAGGAGGAAAGCGGGGACGAAGATGTTGTGGAAGAGGACGCCAGGGCGGCAGAAGCTTGGTTTGGTGTAGAAGGCTTCAAGCCGTACATGTTTGAGCTCTTGCCTCGCAACGCTGCCAGTTCTGTTAGCTCTACGCCTGCTGAAGACACAGACGTCCATCCCCGTGAACACTGGGACGGAACTCAATGGGAAAGGAAAGGATCCTGATGTCTTATTTCAATCGTTGCGTATATTAGCTGCAACATATGAATCAAGATGCTATGACCAAAAACATTTGATTGACAGATGACCGTTGATATATGATTGGACGAATTTAGGTGTTCAGGATGATGTATAACTTAACTGGCCATAAGATAACAAAACACAGATTTTAAGACAGGATTTTGTTTTTCTTTAAATAGAAATGTTTAAAATTTTGGTACAATATTGTCTGATGAAGAGTACATTTATATATGTTTTAGCCAGAATGATTTGACATTTAAATATGACTTCCCTACGACTTTAAACCTTCCAATGTTTTGTAATAGAGGTAAATGTTTGTCCAGTATTGAGATAAAAATGATCAATCTGATCTTCTTTAGAGAACTTGTTGTTTATTTCCGTCCCACCTGCATTCTGAGACTTTGTGTCCCCCGCAGTTTCCTGTGACTCTGGAGACGATTGTTCTCGTAGAAGGCGCTCTCGTCCCTGCAGCCGCTCCACCATGGCTATGATGCAGTCCAGACACTTCCCGACGTTCGCCCACGTCCTGTCCTACACAAACACACACGTTTAGACAAACCGTCGCACCAAAAGCAGAGCAACTAGAGGTCACACCCCCCCTCCAACTTGCCCACTCCTCCTGGCTGTACTCCTCTCCATCCTGCAGCCGAGGCGACAGCCCCCCCTCCTGGTCAGAGTGGGAGACCTCACAGACCAATCCATTGGTGTGAACATGGCTGCCTCCGTCTTTAGAGGCGGATCGGTTGTTGATGTCCAGCAGGGCGCTTCTCACCAGCTCGTCTTGTAGGGCGTGAATAAACATCGTGGTCTGAAGGGAAACATCCGTTGGAGCTTTGCGTCTAAAAACATTTGTGTTTGCTGTGTTATTCTTACCTGCTCTTTAAGGCTTTCCAGGACCTCCTGCAGTCGACCCAGATGGACCTCCACAGAGACGGAGAGCAGCTCCTCGGCGAGGCCGAAGATCAGAGGCTGCAGCTGGGCAATGCTGACCAGCAGCTCCCTGGCTCTGCAGCTCTGCTCTCTGGAGTACGACACAGAGCTGCAGAGGAACCAAGAGTTACTAGAGGAGCTGAGTCAAACCTCCACCTCTGCTGCTTTTACACTCATTTTCCCCCAATGACTGATCATTTCTAGGAGAAACTGAAAGTGCTGCAAATCGTGGAAACAGAAAAACCTAAAAGTGAGTTCAGAATCTGATCCTGTTTTTTTAGTAGCACTAGGTAACATTTTCATCCTCATATATCCTCTGCTACGTCCCTGTCATTGTAATCAGTTATGCCTAATATAGGAGACCTTTGAACACACTGTCTGCAGCATCGCATACAGCTTCTCCTTGTACCTAATATTTAAGCCCAATCTAGGTGGGTGTCTGTGGCACAGACCCCAAGCTTACAGCATCAAACAGCATGTGGATGTAAAAAACAGTTGATTTCATCTTAATATTGGAGAAACCAAACTACCTCTCCACAGACGCATGGCCCAACACAGAAGAGCGACCTCCTCTGGACAAGAATCTGTCCATCTACATCTTATGGACAAAGGACATTCTTTTAAGAAACAAAATGTTCACATTTTGGATTAATAAAATAGAGGGTTTGAGAGGGCCGTGAAGGAAGCCATCTTTGTTTAAAAAAAAACAACCTAAAACAGAGGGGGTGGACTCAGATTTTATCTTTCAAAAACCTACAATGCAGCACTATTGTCATTCCCTTCCATTATCACTGCAGCTCGAGCCCCTGTATAGGAGAGCGGAGCACCTCGTCTATCCAGCCAGGCCAATAATTCCCTTTAATGACTGACCTTTCACACACTTAGATGGGTATACAGCATTGGAGGCTAACAAAAGAAGCCAAACGACCCCCATTCCAAAGGGGTGGACCCGTTTGTCTGTTGCAATTAGCATGTTTTCAAAACAAAAACAAGGCTTTATTAGGCTACTGTACAAAACCTCAAACTAAACCCTCTTTCTGACATTTTGAATTGAAAAAGCCTTCTGGATGGATGCGAAAACTCTTCAAACTTGGAAATAAAGTCCAGTGGATTGGTTTTTCAAGCTGATCTATAACTAACTGACCTGCATAAGATAATGATTTTTTTTAAACAGAAGTTTTCTACATTTTGGGACAATATAGTCTGATAAAGAGTACATTTATATATATGTTTAAGCCAGAATGATTTGAAATTTACATATGATCTCCCTAAGACTTTTATCTTAGGGATAAAAGATGTTCCGCTTTCACTACCTTACTAAGTTCAAGTATTTAAAGATGTCTAAGATGTCTCCATCAGATTCTATCTGTTTTTCTTGGCAGGCCAGTGCAAACTCAGCTCCGTTTACATGGACACCATCTTTAAACATCTACGTCTTGCTGAAGCTCCTCAGTAAGACGTAGGTCTTGACTTTGACTAGGCCATTCTACCACATGACCGTGTTTCAATTAAATGAACAATTCCATGTAGTTCTGGATGTATTTCTAGGCTAATCGGGCTCCATCCTTCTCCCCGTCCATTCTGAGCAACCAAATAAAGGCTTCCCCAAAGCATGATGCTGCCATCACCATTTACAGGATTCCTACAGCATAAAGCAAGTTAATTTTTGTTTTTTTAATGCCACTTGAAATAAAAATTTAAGACCAAATTCACAAGAAACACAAGAAAAACCTGCTTGCGACAACTTAACCCAAAGGTTTATTAGAACATAAACCACTGCACTAATGTTTCCAATGTTGAAAAGCTTCCCATACAGGAAGAAAGCTAAAAACACACAAATGACAGATATATTTGAACAATTATTTAACTGAATTCACAAACTTTGTTTTAGCAGGGAGCAAAACAAATCAGTTTTAAAGCCCCAACATAACCAGTGCTAAGTCTTTTTTGCAGCTATTTTTCTTTGTATGGTTTTCTTAGTATGTTTGATTTGGTGATAAGTGGAGGCGTTGCAGAGACAAGGGTGGAACTAAACTAGGGCTGCAACAACGAATCGATAAAATCGATAAAAATCGACTTTTAAAAGCGTTGGCAACGAATTTAATCATCGATTAGTTGTGTCGCGCGATTAATGCGTCATCCGCCGCCGCCGTCATCCCGGGGAAGAAAAAAAAATATGGCGGAGCGAGTCAGCGCCGCAGTTGCAGTGTTGCCAACTCAGCGACTTTTCAGACCCCTCCAGCGACTATTTTTTTAAAAAGCTACTAGCGACAAATCTGGCGACTTTTTACGGTGTCACTGGCGGCTTTTGGAGACTCTTACGTGAAAGCATGTATCGTTCCTACTCTTCTCCTACAGCGGCAGCTGCTGCCGTGGGGCGCCTCCCCCATCCCAACGCCTTTCTCCCTCTCCCACAGGAATCCCTCTCAGCGCTGCAGTCAGAGCCGCAGGATTTTAGTGAGGAGTTTACCCTCAGCGTCCAGACTGCAAATGAAGCGCGCATGCCCCGGGATTGACGGCGCAAATTGATCACAATAATTAAAATAGCCTGCGCTTTGTAAAGTGAAAAAAGTCGTAACATGCAACTTTTGTAAAAACAAATGAACATGGCACGGAAGCACCACTGTTATGACGCAGCACCTGAAAAGAAAACACGTTGGAGCCTTCAATGGCAGTGAGGAGAGCTGATCAGCAGGATGAGTAACCATGTTTTTTTCATTTTGAAGTGGGGAAACGTAAGTTAGTTTCTCAGGTAGCTCATCTGATGCTTTCCTTAGCTTGTTAGTAGGTTACAGACAGTGATAAGGTTGGCTTCTTATTTTACTTTTAATTTCATTTGAATTAGCTTAAGCAGCGTTTATATTTTCTTTATAAATAAATTAACTTGCAAATTATGAGGGCAAGGCTTTTAAAGTTTGAATCTTCTGGCAAAGATAAAGTAAAGAAGATCCTGCAATTTATGGAAGTAAAGCAGAATAAAATCCAGCAAGATCAGTAATATGTCAATTAATTATTTGCCACATTCCTATGTAAATATCTGTCGTTGGAGGATGTGTTTTTTAGCACCACTAGTTCTCTCATTTTTATTCCAAATACAATTTATAATTTGAATCACAGGGCTATTTTTATCTCTATGGTTCAGTATTTTCTCAAGTAGCAACTTTAACTGCTATACTTTCCTGTCTTAAAAGGCAGAACTCTTCTAGTCTAAAAAAACTATTTTGTTGAAATGGGGGGGCCTATTGTTTGAACCCCTTAGGGGCTTTAAAAACAGAAATGTCTTTTTTTGCACTTTATGAAACAAAGTAGCCTATATTTTGTGGATGTACAGCTACATTTCTCATGTAAGTTTGCGTAGTTTTAACACAAACATTTATTTTTCATATTGCACCAGTACAGTTAATGAGAAACCTGTACTTGTGTGCTTGTTTGTTCTGTCTAAAATGTTTATTTTGGAATGAAGAGGTTAATATAAAAAAAATATTTTGTGTCCGATTCATCGATTAATCGAAAAAATAATCGGCCGATTCATCGATTTTCAAAATAATCGTTAGTTGCAGCCCTAAACTAAACTGAGAAATACCGGCTGTTTCTCTGTATCTCCATTTTGAGGCTTTGTGTTTCGTGCTTCGCATGTGCGACTCCACTGCCTTAATTCCCATCGTTCTGAGCTTGAATGACTTCTTGTATAAAATCCTCTGAGCCTCATGTATGTTCCCTGGTTTTAGCCACGGAGAAAACTCTTGGCTGGAGACAATTTTCGTTACATTTACACTTGCTCATATTTTCCAGACAAAAAGTTAATGGCGCATCTCCCAAATGTCCCGGCCGCAACAACGCTTTTATTGGTTCCGCTAACGGGACGGAACCAATAATGGCAAGCCTTTATTTTTTTAAATAAAAAATAAAAGGTTTAATGTTTTATTTAGATTACAAAAAATAAATCATAATAAAAATAATCCTATTTATGATGTTTTAGAAATTAAGACCTACGAAAGACTGATTTAAGACATTTTAATACCAATTAAGGCCTTAGTTTTATGTTGAAGAATTCAATGCCTTTTAAGACTTTTTAAGGACCAGCAGGAACCCTGTATTAAGAGACACCAGAGTAGAGGGTGGAAATGAAACTGAAAACTACCTAAAGTGTTCCTCCCCCCTCCCCATTATGCTCTAAATTGAGTTGGTCTGTCCCATCTGTTTATCTTAGCGGAGTGAGGGTGTGAATACTTTCTTAAATAGGTGCAGGAATGCATCTGAGCAGCAGAGGTCACCTGTGTTTGTGGCCTGTGTGTTTGCTGATCAGCCTCTTCAGTCCTCCATGTTTGAAAGCCTGGTGGTGATCGGCCGGCGCTCCGAAGGTGATGACCTCGTACCAAACGCCTGGACACAGCGGAGAGGTGTCACGAAGCACAGCAAGGAAACAGCGCTAAAAAGAGGAAGGAGGAGAGGCTCTGGGTGTCACCTGAGCTGTCAGGGCCGGTCACCTCCATCCTCTGGGAGTGCAGGTTGGTGGGGATAAACTGGAGGTGTCTGTCAGACTTGCTGCTGCTCGCCTTAAAGCAGGACGAAGCTGTATGGAAGAGAAAAACATCTGGACTAAGACTTCTGCACGGGCCTGGCTGCGTTCGTCACTCATTAAATCTTACTTGAGAGTTTGTCGAGCTCTGTCTGTGTTTGCTGATAGCAGCTGATCAGCTGGTTGCAGTGAGCGATGATGTCATGGCGGAGGCCGTCCCAATGAGGCGACAGGTCACTCAGCTCCTTCACTTCCAGGACTCTGATCAAAACAACAAGCGGTGCTCAGCTTTATCTCTACCAGGTGCTAACAGAAAGGTTCACCTGTAGAAACCTCACTGTGTTACGATTCTACTTTCCAATTCCCAAAAACTTGAAAAACAATCTACCGGACTTTGTTTCCAAGTTGTTTCCAGGAAGCTTTTTCAATTCAAAATGTCAGAATAAGCGTTGGGGTCGAGGCGCTATAGAGCGGACCAAAAACAAAGCCTAGTTTTGGCTTAGAAAACATGCAAATTAAACCGGACAAAGGGGTCCACCCCCTTGTAATGGGGGTCGTTTGGCTTCTTTTGTTAGCCTGAAATGACCCATACCTGTCTATGTTTCTGAAAGGGTTGTCATTAAAGGGAATTGTTGGCCTGGCTGAATAGGCGAGGTCTTCTGTTCTGTAAAGGGGTTGGGGTTACAATGATAGCAGGAAGAAAACAACTCAATTGCTGCATTCTAGGTTTTTGAAAGCCACCTCTGTTTAAGGTTGGTTTATTTTTAACAAAGTTGGCTTCCTTCGCGCCCATCTCAAACCACCTATTTTCTTTATCCAAAATGTGAACATTCTGGTCCCCAAAAGAATGTCCACAAGGTGTAGGTGTACTGCAGAGTCTTGTCCAGAGGAGGTCGCTCTTCTGTGTTGGGCCATGCGTCTGTAGAGAGGTTGACTGGTTTCTCCAATATAAAGCTCACAGCATTCCTTACTGCATTGAACAGGATACACCACTATGCTCATATTTGGTCTGAGGGTTTTGTCCTTAGGATGCCCTAGTCTCTGTTTAAGGGTTTTGTTTGGTCTGAAATGTACTAGGATATTGCATTTGTAGAGAAAATCCTCTTGAGTTTTTCAGACACTCCAGCAATATATGCGATGGCGATGTTTTTGAGAAAAAAAACAACCTTAAACAGAGGGGGTGGACTCAGATTTCAGTTTTCAAAAACCTACAATGTAGTAACTGAGTTGATTCCCTTCCGCTATCATCGTACCCCCAACCCCTTTACAGAGGAACAGAAGACCTCATTTATTCAGCCAGGCCAACAATTCCTTTAATGACAGCGCTTTCAGAGACATATACAGGCATGGGGCATTGCAGGCTCATAGAAGAAGCCAAATGACCCCCATTAGAAGGGGTAGACCCGTTCGTCTGTTTCAATTTGCATGTTTTCTAAAGGCTTTGTTGGGCTACTGTGTAAAACCTCGAACTTAACGCTATTTCTGACATTTTGAATGGAAAAAGCTTCCAGGATGGGAACCAAAACAACTTCAAACTTAGAAAGTGGATTGTTTTTAAAAAATTTTTGGAATGACTATGACCTGGATGACTGAGAATCTTCACCAGCATCTACTTTCCAACATTATTGACTTTCCACATCTACTAGCTATCGACAACCGACCACATGGTCACAGAAAGACACCATGCTGCTGTATCAAAAACAGTCAGAGAGACATGTGAGGGAGCTGCAGTGAGACAACGGTGACGTTTATCTAGACAGGGGCCAGTATCCAAGTAGGACTAGCCCTGGCCCATTTATAGGCACAGTACTGAAAACATACTATATAAAATGTAAATATAATTCGGTTGATTGAAGCTGAACTAAGTTTATTTTCCTTTTCTTTGACCAGGTAGACAATATGCCAATGGAATAAAATGATTTATGTTTAAAATAGGAAACAAAAACCCCAGGAACTTATCTCATATAGTGCATATAATGCATATTATGTATTTCATTTCTACAATCAAAAATACTCCTGGCAGATCATCAGAATTACCTTCTCAAATTAAGGCCGAATACAATTAGATTAAGAAAATCTCACCTTTTTTGTAATACTAAATACATGCATTTAGATGATATACGCTGACAGAAGAGTCCTTAATTTGAGATTTCTCCTAGGGACTAGGGCTGAAACAATTAACTGAATTAATCGATTTTTGAAATAATTGTCAACTAATTCAGTAATCAATTAATAGTTAACTTGAGTGTAGAGACTCTAAAACATGCATTTAGCTGACAGAGCGACCCACTTAGAGCAGTAATTATACCAAAATTGTAAAAATATTTTGCACTTTGGATAGAAAATATTTTTGTCTGTCAATATGCTCTATCCAGAACTCCTCAAGTGGAAAACTTTTAGTTTCACCTGGTTTAATTGTGTAGAACATCTTCTTTAAAGAACCTTTGACTCTCCGATTATTAATTTATTAAATCGAAAACATTCGATTTGCAAAATAATTGTTAGTTGCAGCGCTACTTTGGACCAATTCTAATATTTCACCATTACAATGAACTTTAACAATTATTTAGAAATTGCAGTCAGCTTTAAGCTTCAGTCAGACCAAGATAGGATCATAGTTTTCACCTCTTAGATAAGGAGTCTTTAATCGTGGCTTTAAGCGTAACTCATTCTGCTAAACACTGATCTCTCACCCTGTTTGTTCCTGGTAAATTTAGTCTAGAACCGCCACTGGTCACATTATATCTAACACAGGGTTTATACAGGAATGACTAACTCTAATTTAATGCTTTTTAATGCTCTTAGAAATCATTTTAATGCCATCAACAAATACCCATGACAGCCATGAAGTTTTATAATTTTCTAGCCGCTTTTGTTGAAATTAGCATTTTCCTATTATCTCAATTTTTCTCCACCTTGAGCTTCTTTTCTTCTTCTTTCCGAGCAAATAAATTGTGGTATGATATATTTGACAAAATTGTTTTTATAAACGGATTTGTTTAATTTTAAATAAAACATTTTAAATGCCACGATAACCACATTTAATGAATTTAATGCCAATTAAGGCCTTCATTTAGAAAATAATAATTAAAAGTAATGACCATGTAACAAGAGAAAGACACTACATTTCTCTCTTCAGCCCTTTAGGTTGTGGCAATGATCTATAAGCGGGTTTGCTGCCGCACAGAAGCACAGCGAGAGTTTGAGCTCGCATGCAGATCTACGTATGATAGCAGAGGTAAGAAGTTTTCCACAGTAAAGTCCTGCAACAATAAACTCTGCACATTAAGATTTCAAAGTAATAAACAAAGTGAAGCCCTGGAGTAAATAATCTACATGCTTCTCATAAGTAGAAAGGAAAAACAAAATTAAATCCCAATTATTGACTGAAAAATATCACTTTTTTTTTCAAATGCTGGTGCAATCTTTTCATTTTAGAAAATATAAACAATTAGGACCGTTTCTCATATATCTTGGCTTTCTTTCTCACATAAAGATCTTCGTTTTCTCTCACATTCATTACACGGATATCATTAAGCCATAAGATGAACTCAAAATAAAGTCAGAGAGCATATAAATAAGTTGCTTTCAGAGCTGGTTTACCTACCTGTCTGTGTGCTCCTTAATGAGCGAGCTCAGTAGCTGTTTGGGTAAAGAGAAGGACAGCGGCGTTTCTGACATCTGTTCCCGGACCAGCAGCCACCTGTGGTCCTCCGTCTGAAACCTGTACACCTTACACACCTGCGAGCACAGGGCTGCACACGGATACAGATGTTACGGTTAGAGTGAGGGAGGAGGACATGGAAACATGAGCTCAGACTCAGTCTCACCGGCTCTCATCATCGGACTGTGTTCTTTGTCCTGGACGGAGCCGTGCAGAGCGTCGCACAACACTGAGCTCTGAGGCAAGAAGAAGACAGAATCATGAAGAAAAATACTCCTACGTCTAATTATTCTCAAATTATCTTACTGTCCTCTATATACACTAACATGTACAATGACCCATGACTCTGTTACCAAAATAAGACCACAAAAAATGCCAGAGGAAACTGTACAGCAGTGTGAAAATGACATCGGTGCACCCACAAGCACTGAGAGAAAAAAAAAAAACATTCATCTTCCTTCACCCTGTTTTCCAAAGCGTGCTCCTCCGTCTCTTCCTCCACCTGCAGACGGGACACCCTCACCTCCCCGACCTCGTTCCCTCCGTCCATCGTCCTGAGGCACACAGAGAGAAAAGGAGCTGAAGGAGGCGGTGATGCGACACAGAGCAAGAAGCTGGTTAATGTGAGACGCTTTCTAAAAGAAAAAAACTTTCACTTCCTGCCGGCAGTTCTCTGAGACGATCATTCAGATTCACGTTTTCTAACTAGATTCTGAAGCTAAACCAGAAAAGTCCTCAGTTACCGGAGGGTATGAAGAAATAGCAGAACTGAGATGAAAAGGACAAAAAGAAATATATATAAAAAAAATGTAAATAGATGAGAATTAACAGCAAAGTGTATCAAATCTAAGGTTGAAATACAGAAATAAACTATAGACAAAAGGATGGTGACATAAAAAGAGAGACAATAAAGCAAATAATAATCTAAATATAAATAAAAAACTTGAGATTAGATTAAGTTTATGCAAATGATGTTACTTATTCTATTAAATCAATGGAAAATTCACTAATTCCAAGAAAAAAACTGACTACCTTAGATTTCAGCTTTGCAGTTTGATCCTTAATAAAAGAAAACTTAACATAAGAGAGAGGAAAGTTAAGTGGTAAGAAGAAAACAGAGAGTGGAAACCAAGAAGGAGAAAGTATATAACGAGGTAGGTGAAACTAAACTGTAAAAAGGCAAGAAAACATTGAGGTCATTTTCTCAGAGATAAAAGTCAAAGTAAAAACAAGATAACGTGCAGATCAGAGGCATGAGGGCCGAGCCAGCCCGGTCTTCCTGTCTGACATGTCATAGCAACACCACGGTTCTAGTTGCAACATCAACACAACCACCAAGCCTCAGCCACACCAGAAACACAGCCCCCTCATCATACTGGGTCCAACAGCTGTTTGTAAACAGGAAGCTGCGACTCCATGGCCACGTATCCCAGGGCGAGTGATGGTGGATGCTAGGGCTGGTCAGTTCATTGATGCAATCCATTTGAGAAATCAATTTATTAAATCAATTCATCCAATTTTTGTTTATGAAGATATATTTTTTGAAAAATCTAATTTTTTTAAAGTGAAGACCCCCTGGCCTTCCACCGCTCAGGTTGACATCAGCTTAAATAGCTCTCTATGTAAAACCACCAACTAAAAAACATTTAGTTTGTACATTTTCATTGTTTTTTTCTTTAACGGAAAGTAGCCAGACTGATCTGCAAGTGAAACCTTGAAAGCTCGCGAGATGAGGATGGTCTCACAAGGATTTTTCACCGCTTGAATTTTCATACCCTTTAAATTAAAGGTACAGTGGAAGATGTTCTTTTTCCGGGTGGATCATCAAAATAAGTGGTCCTCCTAATTTGCCATCATTCTGGTTTACGTAAGGCCGTCCTACATGCTCGTCCCCATTTTCGTGAGTCTTAACCTGACTCCGCCAGATGGATTTGCTCCACATATCCATCTGGAAACCTTACGTTGTAGTAATTTTGGGAAGGGGCGAAAATACTGGTTAGCTGATTGGCCTATGTTGGTGATAGACGGGCCAAATAAACCAATCAGATCAACGAAGCATATGACGTACTAACAGAGCGACGACGAAGAGGAGCCAATTGATAGATCAAACTCTTGCCGAAACCAGTCGGGAGAAGAGCAAAAACATCTTTTCCTGTGAGAAAAGCCTCCAGAGCAGTGTTTTGCTCTTCTTTCAGTGAAGAAATACTCTGTAATTCCGATAAAACTTGCTCGATAGCCACGCTAACGCTAGTTTCATCGGCTGAAGCCGCCATGTTCTTTAGACTGAACTGTCGCGCTTCTCGTTGCGTCACACCTCAACCCGCCTCAAAGCCAACGCTGATTGGACGTTTGTTTGGTGAACGGCTCCAAATTTTCTTTAACCGAAAGTAGCCAGACTGATCTGCGATTTAAACCTTGAAAGCTTGCGAGATCAGGATGGTCTCACGAGGCTAGGTGAGTCTGACATAGTGGAAAAATAGCATATCTTTTAAACAAACGGCAGCTTTTAAACAAAGCGTGCACGACCAGAAATGGGCTCATGCATGCGATCACACATGTTTATTAGGCGTTTCCTCTCGGGAGCGGGTACAGGGATATGGATGTGCTTTTTTTTTTAAAGTGGAGAGGGCAGGTCTTTTCAAAAGTTCGCAGAATTCCTCCACTATACCTTTGAGGTCATCTCCCAGATGCTATCAGAATTAGTTTTTGAAAGCTTTTGTCATTTTTATAAAGAAATTTACTGAAAAAAAAGATAATTCAGATTTGGTAGGAAATAAATCATAAAGTTCTTTTTTTTTATCCATATCGCCCTGCTTTTTTGAATGCTTAAAGGGGTCAGTAGGATCAGAGAAGTGCCCTATGAGTTCTGATCATTCAGAGTTTCGAGTTAATGCAGTCTGATGCATCAACCAGACATCACCTGCCTACAGCTGATAACAACCTCTCTCCTCAAGGCTCCTTGGATTTGAAACTGCCTCCATCCAATCCACAGTCGGCATGACGACCACAAACTGGACTACTTGCTCTCAACTCTTGTGTCAGTCAGATGATGAATGTTTGGGTTAAACCAGCCTAACCTCTATTGGGGTCCAAAAAGACTTTCTAAATCCTAGATTACCTGAACACAGTAGAGGATGACTGAGAGTATAAACAGATTATATAAACAAGAGAGAAAATATAGAGTGTAACTGGATTAACAAGCCTGTCAGAGTAAATTATTCATTGAACAGGCAGTCTAATGGATCTGTCTTAGTGTTTTAAACCCATTAGAGGCCACAGAAAATGCAGATATGAGCTGATCAGTCCTCATTAGAGAAGAATATTCATTACAAATATACCACCATCACACTTTCAATGTATGTGATATCACAGGTCCCCAGCCTGCCTGCCGATAAAGAAACTAACATACATCATTGTTCACGTTTAACCAGAAGATAAAGATTTTTCTATGTTTTATATTTCTAACAGCTGTAAAGTGGATGACTGTCCTCATATCTGCCTCTAATCTTTATTGGACGCTGCTGCGGCTGATGTGCTTAGAAGTATTGGAACTGTAGATTCTTTTAATCTACAGGAAAACAAAGAACAGCAGATCTTTAGGTTATTGACCTGCTGGTTACCAATCAGTGCAGATTAAAGGAAACCAGCTGGACGACTGATCTAAAAGCTCTCTGTGAGAGCAGACAAGTTTGCTCCATGAGAGCAAAATGTGGATTTATAGCATGACATTTACCAGGAATAACTCCACTGACTGATTCTCTTAGTGCAGCACTAACCATCCTCACTAGACTGCATGTTGACCAAACCAGAACAGCCCCTCTGGATGCTGGTTTTGGACAGATTAATAGCTCACAAATCCTACTTTGTCTGACAATGTTCTCACTGCAACCAGGCTATAAATATTAAACGCTTTAGAAGAAGTGAGAAAGTGACACAACTACCAAAAACCGTTAAGAACGTTTGAAACCATAATGAGGATGAAATGAAACTGGAAAAATATCATTAATCACAACCTTAATGAAAAAAAAAACAAAAGCCAAACCAGGCTGGATGTGTAGCGAGCAAAGTCTCTGCAAACCTGCACTGAGGCATGTGTTAGTATCCAGATGCGGCTGAACGCAGCGCGCTGGGACAAAGACGCCTTCTGAGCTCCGAAGTTCGCCTCCACTCTCTGTCCCTCATAACGGTACGAGTCCCCACTCCTCTGGAGTCTCGCTGAAGGTGTGATAACTAAACAGGAAACTCTCTCAGGAGGCGGAGGAACACGCTGCCCCATCTCATTTCCTCTTCTGAGTAAAGGTATCCAAGCAACAGCCAATCAGGAGGCAAGAAACCGGACCCTTTATAAAGCCTTTATAAAAAGAACCTCATTGTCTACAGAGGGTTTTTTAACACATATGAGAGCAGGGATGTGGAACACTGGCTCTCAGATGTGACATTACATTTCTCTAAATAGTTCAGATACTTCATTTACATCTGGGCTGCTAAAAAAAGATGAATTTGGAACATCAGTGGAGGTGTTTTAACAAGTTTAAATATAGTTTGTGATGCTTTAAACAAAAGAGATTTTACCTGAGCTTTAGGGAGCTGTGAGGCTCCTTGGACCTGAGAAGATCTCTGATGGAGAAGGATGTGAAGGCCAGGCAGCTTCTCTACCAGAGACAGAGAGGGGAACAACGTTTTATAACATTAACTGTTAAAAATGCACAGCTTACAATCCCAAACCTTAAACTTCTTTAGCTCAATACTGTGATCAGACTTATGCACTGCAAAACAATCTAAATATGAGTAAAGATGTCTTAAAATACCCTTAATTTAAATATGTAAATAAGATGATCTGGCACTGGAATTAGCATTTTCTTACCCATTAAAATAGATACTTGGACTTTTTACCCTTATAAATAGATATTTAGATATCATGCACTTGAAATAAGAGACTGCAGTTGGTTCTTTTTCTTATTATTAATGTAAACTGTCTAAGTCAATTGGATAAGGATCTAATTTAACTGCTCAATTCAAGAAATACTTCACTTATTTTAAGAAAATAATTTATTCAAATTTTCCGTAGCGTGTGTATCTGACTTTCATTCAGCGATATAGGAAGATATGATCTCATAGGGAGAAAATACTACAGCACCATGTTTGATTAGCAGGCTGCCCGTCCTCCTCCCACATGAACCACTGACACTGTGAGGCAACAGTCGCTTCAACATTGCAGCAACGACCCAGTAGCAACATAATTTAAAGGTCACCACTACAGCTTTTTTCGTTTGTTGATTTTGTAAGAAATAAAACATCAACAGGACGTCTGGAGTGGCTCAGAAAAGGAGCACTAATTTTAAAGAGAAAAAAATGGTTTCAAATTTTGACAGCCATGTTTAACAGTCATGTTTTCAAAAATCGGCTTAATCGGCTTCTCTGAATTCTCCTTAGGAGTGTGTGTGTGAATGGTTTGTCCTGTTTGTATCTGTGTTGCCCTATGCTGGACTAGTGACCTGTCCAGGGTGAACCCCGCCTCTCACCCATTGACAGCTGGAGACCCCACTTGGGATAAGCGTGATAGAAAATGGAAAGGACGGGCCCAGATTAAACAAATATTCACTTCTGGTAACATTGACAAGAATAGGAGTTTGCAGTCATGATAGACAGAGGTCAGGTGTTAGTAGCAAGGTTACAGAGCTGAGAGCAGGGTTCCTACAGCATAAGGCAAGTTAAATTTAAGACTTTTTAAGACTTTTTAATGCCACTTGAAATAAAAATTTAAGACCAAATTCACAAGAAACAAGAAAAACCTGCTTGCGACAACTTAACCCAAAGGTTTATTTTAACATAAACCACTGTAACCTGACTCCGCCAGATGGATTTGCTCCGCATATCCAGTCGGGAGAAGAGCAAAAACATCTTTTCCTCTGAGAAAAGCCTCCAGAGCAGTGTTTTGCTCTTCTTTCAGTGAAGAAATACTCTGTAATTCCGATAAAACTTGCTCGATAGCCACGCTAACGCTAGTTTCATCGGCTGAAGCCGCCATGTTCTTTAGACTGAACTGTCGCGCTTCTCGTTGCGTCACACCTCAACCCGCCTCAAAGCCAACGCTGATTGGACGTTCGTTTGGTGAACGGCTCCAAATTTTCTCTAACGGAGAGTCTCCAGACTGATCTGCGAGTGAAACCTTTAAAGCTTGCGAGATTAGGATGGTCTCACGAGGATTTTTCACCGCTTGAATTTTCTTACCCTTTAAATTAAAGGTACAGTGGAAGATGTTCTTTTTCCGGGTGGATCATCAAAATAAGTGGTCCTCCTAATTTGCCATCATTCTGGTTTATGTAAGGCCGTCCTACATGCTTGTCCCCATTTTCGTTTACCGGTGGTGAGCCTTAACCTGACTCCGCCAGATGGATTTGCTCCGCATATTCATCTGGAAACCTTCCGTTGAAGTAATTTTGGGAAGGGACAAAAATACTGGTTAGCTGATTGGCCTATGTTGGTGATAGACGGGCCAAATAAACCAATCAGATCAACGAAGGATATGACGTACTAACAGAGCGACGACCAAAACACAACCACAAGCCAGGCACAATCCAATTGATAGATCAAACTCTTGCCGAAACCAGTCGGGAGAAGAGCAAAAACATCTTTTCCTCTGAGGAAAGCCTCCAGAGCAGTGTTTTGCTCTTCTTTCAGTGAAGAAATACTCTGTAATTCCGATAAAACTTGCTCGATAGCCACGCTAACGCTAGTTTCATCGGCTGAAGCCGCCATGTTCTTTAGACTGAACTGTCGCGCTTCTCGTTGCGTCACACCTCAACCCGCCTCAAAGCCAACGCTGATTGGACGTTCGTTTGGTGAACGGCTCCAAATTTTCTTTAACGGAAAGTAGCCAGACTGATCTGCGAGTGAAACCTTGAAAGCTCGCGAGATGAGGATGGTCTCACAAAGCTAAAACCACTGCACTGTTTCAAATTTTGAAAAACTTCCCATACAGGAAGAAAGCTAAAAACACATAAATGACAGATATACTTGAACAATTATTTAACTGAATTCACAAAATTTTGTTTTAGCAGAGAACAAAACAAATCAGTTTTAAAGCCACAACATAACCAGTGCTACGTCTTTTTTGCAGCTATTTTTCTTTGTATCGTTTTCTTAGTATGTTTGATTTGGTGATAAGTGGAGGCGTTGCAGAGACAAGGGTGGAACCAAAATGAGAAATACCGGCTGTTTCTCTGTAACTCCATTTTCAGGCTTTGCGTTTCGTGCTTCGCATGTGCGACTCCACTGCCTTAATTCCCATCGTTCTGAGCTTGAATGACTTCTTGCAGAAAATCCACTGACCCTCATGTATGTTCCCTGGTTTTAGCCATGGAGAAATCTCTTGGCTGGAGACAATTTTCGTTACATTTACACTTGCTCATATTTTCCAGACAAAAAGTTAATGGTGCATCTCTGAAATGTCCCGGCCGCAACGCTTTTATTGGTTCTGCTATCGGGACGGAACCAATTGCCGTTGTATTTTTTTTTTAATAAAAAATTGTCAATTTTAATGTTTTATTTACATTACAAAAATAAATCGTAATAAAAATAATCCTATTTATGATGTTTTAAAAATTAAGACCTACAAAGGACTGATTTAAGACATTTTAATACCAATTCAGGCCTTAGTTTTATTTTGAAGAATTCAATGCCTTTTAAGACTTTTTAAGGACCTGCAGGAACCCTGTGAGATGGCTTCTTCTCAGCATTACGATTCTATTATTTTATTTCAGCCGAAGAGAAAATAAAAAAAAGATAAATTGAACAAAGGGATCAGAAGCAATAAGGAGTTGAATGTTTGCTAATGCTAACCAAAAGTTTTCAGAAAGGTAGCTTAGCGAGAAAAGGCAGGTTTGCCACTTACAGGCTGGAAGGAGTTAAACCTTTAGCTACCTTTAACCGAACACTGCGCTATTGCTGTCTGCATACATGAAGATTAACTCACCCAACCTCCTGGATCCTTGGACGAGAAACTGACAGCATAACCTACTTTCTGATTGATCCAGTTTACGATTATGTGATCGTTCAGGAAAAACAAAGAAAATACTCTTAAAACTTAATTTGATGTACTATTACTGCAAAAGTAGCGCATCATGTCCTACGAAGCACATCCTCGATCCCTGTATCCCCTCACCCCCATGCACCCACCCTCCCACACACACACGTTTGATTAATTGGTCATTTTTTATTTAATTTTTTTTACCTTGAAATAAATCAATTAAATTAATATTGTTATGCATCTTATTTGAGAAACAACAGCAAATAACAGAAGTAGCAAAGCTGTACTCCACCTAGGCCTATGAAAACCTCATTCACTGAAAAACAATAATGCCTCTGTGTTTATGCGAGTGAGTGTGTGCAAGCGAAAAGAGGGTAGTGGCTAAAGGAAGCGAGGTAGGAGGGCAAAACAGGTTTAATGCCACCGCAGCACGGGAGTCAGAATGACGTCCATGAGCAGATGGATAAAAATAGACCAGAGGGAGAAAAAAAACATGAATCGATACTCTTGCATATTGCATTGATCTCTATGGTGTAACCCAGACCCTTACCCTGGCCTAAGCCTTACCAACACATACATTAAGCTAACATACCTTAAGCTAAACTCAATGCACAACTTTCCCTCATGGGGACCAGTGGTTTGTCCCCACAAGGTAATAAAAACATGGCCACACATACACACACTAGTTAAAATAAGAACAGGTCAGATGCAGCCTTCAAAGCTGTGGCCAAATTCTACAAACCACAAACTTCCCTTCATGTCTTATGGGCTCGACCCAAGAAATTAGTTTTGTTTTACAAAATACCAGCAAACCATAAGCCGCTTTAGCACTAATATCCTAATACTGCTAATGCAGGTTATTCTGAGTGTAATTAAAACACTTTACAGACAAAAAGGCTGCTGTCTTTCTGAATTCTTTACAATATATTTAATATATTAATAATTTAAACTACTTTACCCTGCTCTAGTCAAATTTCAAGCTATAGAAGCAAATACAAGCAGAACGTCAATCTTGCTTTCAGCTTCAGTTGGTCATAATTAAAAGTAGTTGGGTAGTTGTCACAGGAATGGGATGCAAATTCATAGAAATGTGGAGAAATACCACATTTTAAAAAATAAAGTTACAAATAAGTTAAATTTGATGAAAGATATGGGTAAATTAAGACTATTTAGTCTATTTTTAGAGGCACTGAATAGCATGGTTTAAGAGTAAAATGGAGGTAGGAAGAGACCAACAATAAAGCACATCAGGCTCTGCAGAAAAGCACCAACATGAAGTTGAACTCCAGCCATGCTGACCTGACGGCCTCTAACTTTAATGAATCAGTCGTGCAAAATCCAAACTCCCCTCAGCTGAAGTCACTCAGCTGCTGTGAGGATAATCAGCAGCTCAGAGGATTACCTCAACGGGTGAAAAGCACTCAAATCATCCGACACACACGACCATCAACGGAACGAAACTGAAGGGAAAGTATGAAAAGTCTCTAATCAGACGTTTAAAATTATCCCTCTTTGGGCTAACATCCTTGCTCCTACTCCAAGGAGAAGTTCTGGATAAGCTGTATTAGGGAATAGTGAAAGTGATGAAGGTGACAGTGTAAGTGTTTAGAGGCTTTCATGGAT